AATGATCATTTACTCACTCTTTGCATAACTGATCAAGATGTTACTTATTTCTTTGACACACCACTTTTTGGCCATCTTTTTCTTGGCCCAAGAGTTATTAAGTTATTAAGTCTCTTTGTGTGCTGTAGCAGGGATTGAATGCATTTTCAAAGAACATAATAATCCTAATGAAGTCATTTGCTTATCATTGCTCTTAATTCACTGGGTGGAGAGTTGAGATTTGTATGGATTTTTTATGAATGGTGACTTAATGTGTAAGGTATATACAGTATCAATGTATGTGAAATCTGAAGCCAGGAGAATGTTTTAATGCACAAGTAGTGGTAGGGAGACGTTGCTAAATTATGGCTGGATAGAAAACAGGAAAACCTCAACAGGACTTCTTAAATTAATAAGAAATGATCCAAAAAAGGTAACGTACCTCAGTTTATTTAGAAAGTAGCCATTCATAATGGGATTCCTTATCTTTGATGTGATTAAAATGGGATATAGATTTTGTCTGATTTTGCAGGATGGATGGCATAGTTAGGTAGCAAGCCCTGAAAGCAGAACTTCCATGACCTGGTTGCTGGTTTCCACCAGAGACCCCTGACTGCTGGAAATAAGACTCTACCTTGTAGCTGGGTGTGGGTAGGAATGCCTTCTTTGAGGCATCCTTGATGAATTCCAGTGGAAGTGGGTGATGTTAGGGGCTGCACACGTTGCATTGTACCTGCACTCTGCTAAATGCCTCATTCCTTGCAGAGAATTACTGTACACAGCTAGTGCAAACCCCAGCGCGAGAAGACAACAAAGCCATTGTGGCAGGGTAAAACATGGTTCATTTAGATTTGGACATTTCAGTCAATTTCAATTAATCTTATAGATTGTAGTGAAACAGTAATTTTCATCTGTCTTATGTGACATTTATTATTAACTTGACATTTTTCATCGTTATTATATCAAACACCTTTACTTGAAAAAAAAAAAAATGTGTTGCTTCTGTTGAAGCATGTTGGAATCTCAGGCATTCCACAAAGTAAAAGCAGTAAACTTTCTCAATTTTATTCCAAAGGAAAGCAAATGTGGAAAAGCCAGAATTCCCAATAGAGTAAAAGCCTTGTTTCTTTTCAGCTCTTGAGGATGTGACCAGACTGGCTAGATGCTAATGAGCAGGGAGAACCTGCCAGCCCATTCAGTGCTGAGCCCTGGGCTTCGTCTGCCCTTTGGGATGCCTGCCTTGTTTGCTTCAGATTCAGTGCCTTTCTTTCAAGCCTGACAGAAAATCAAAGCACTCCACAGTGAGAGAGGACAGCAAAATACCTCTATGCTTCAGTTTCCATTGCTAGCAGCAGTCAGTCTTTACTAATAAGATACAGATCTGGGCTCAAGTTTTGGTTGCAGACAAATAAATTTGACAAGAAATCTGTGGAGGTGATGTCCCAACAGAGCTAAGAAGGGGCACAAGTGATGCAGTGATCTCTCCCTCTGGACTCAGAAGCAGTGTAGCAATATCCTCCAAGGGTAACTGGATTTTCTGGAAAATATAACATTGAAAGCTAAAGGTTGTGACAGTGATAAATGATGTCAAGTGTTGTGGATCTACTCTATCATGGGATTGTAAAGTTGGGGTCTGCTGTGCACAGGAAATCCTTTTTCCTTGGCTTTGGCACTGCAGAAGACTTGAGTGGGATATGGAGATGCTTTCTGAAGGCATTCCCTACAGGGAAATATGACAGAGGTCATTAATGGTGATAGTAAGCATTGTGTTTCAGATTGCAAAACAATCACCATTGAAACTGTGTCCTTCAAGATTTGCAGGGCGTTTACAAAACTCCTTCAATAAAGTTTGGTATCTAGTGCTTATGCTGTGTTTGAAGTACTGGATAAATCCCAGCCCAGGGAGGGACAGATGGTCATAAACATCTCCCAAAGAGAGCCTGCTTCCTCTCTGGTCATCCTTGCAGAGGTGTGTGACACAGCCAATGGATGTGTGCATGTGGGTAGAACAGCTCATGTGGCTCTGTGGAGTCACAGCTCCATGCCACAAGAAAGTGGATGGAGGAAGGGAGGAGAATGGGATAAGACTTGCATCAATCTCTTGACTCATCTTCTCATCAGTAAACTTCCTCCTTTGCAAGATGAGAGGAACTTACAGGGAATTTGGCCTGGACATTTCAGATTGTTCTGTCTATGGCCTTTCATGACAAACTTCCTTGATTCTCAAACTGCTGTTACAGTCCAGCCTCTTCCAGAGAAGCCTTTTCTGGCACCTCCCCTGCTTTAGTGCCACAAGCAACACAGGATTGTATCAGTTCATCACTGATGGATCAGGCCATTTTGCTTGTGATACAGCAACTGATTGCCTAATTTTTCCACTTAGTTCAAGCCATAATGCTTCTGAGTCTAATTCTAAAATATGGCATTGCTACTTATATCCCACAGGAGGATCTTCTGCTTTGGTTGCAGGAGGATCCCTTGTGTGATTTTCTCCTTAAACATCTTGCATCTTTCTGCAGTACAGGAAGGACGTGGAGCTCTCAGAGCGGGTCCAGAGGAGGGCACTAAGATGATTAAAGGGCTGGAGCACCTCTCCTATGGGGAAAGGTTGGAAGAACTGGGCTTGTTTAGCTTGGAGAAGAGAAGGCTCCGGGGAGACCTCACTGTGGCCTTCCAATATTTGAAGGGAGCGTATAAACAGGAGGGGGAATGGCTGTTTACGAGGATGGATAGCGATAAGACAAGGGGGAATCGTTTTAAACTGAGACAGGGGAGGTTTAGGTTGGATATTAGGAGGAAGTTTTTCACTCAGAGGGTGGTGAGGCACTGGAACAGGTTGCCCAAGGAGGCTGTGGATGCCCCATCCCTGCAGGCATTCAAGGCCAGGCTGGATGTGGCTCTGGGCAGCCTGGTCTGGTGGTTGGTGACCCTGCACGTAGCAGGAGGTTGAAATGAGATGGTCATTGTGCTCCTTTTCAACTCAGGCCATTCTATGATTCTCTAGCAAAGAACAGTGCTCCCAAGCTCCTGGCATTGTGTTTGTGTTCCCCCCTCTGCTACGCCACTTCAGAGTTACAAGGCTTTAGCCCTTAATTGCTGATACACTGGTAGATGCAGATGGCAGTAGAAGGTATAGCCCTTTCCCTCCTACCTGTCTGCTTTTGTGTATTAGAGCTCTCTGTCCTGAATCTCGTAGCTTTCCAGTTCTTTGGGCTAGTATTTTGATGAAGGTGCTGATAAAGTGAGCTCTGTGGTGTGCCTGTTTGGGTTGCAGTACAAGTTGATTTTTGTCAAGGTGCATGAGAATGCTGGAGATCAGAAGGAAAACAAGAAAAGTGTCAGGGTGTGCAGAAGGCCATTTTGCAGGGCTGTAATTGGTGATCTCAAAGGGCAAGCATCCCAGATGCAGTTGGGGATATTCAAATGGATGCTTCTAGATGAAAGTGCCCTACCGTGCAGTTTCCCTCGTGGGCAGTGGACTTATTTCCACTTCAAAACCTTTAGAATAGCATATGTTTGGTCCTTTGGCCTCAACCCCAGAAGGACAGCCTACAGAGACAAATGAGATCTTTCACTCTGCTTGGTGCTCTGCAATTACTGGGAGCTGGCTCAGCCTGCATTGTAACTCCTGGTGGTGCGGAAGATACAGCAAGCATTGGGAGGCAAGTAGAGCTCTGCTTTTCTCCTATGGTAGGGCATCTTCTTTAGTTTTCTTGGGCAGTTCTCTGCTGAGGTACAGAGGAATCACAGCAACATCTAAAATGTTTGCTTGACACTGCAGGTCTTAGCAGCTGCGTGCCTGTTGCTACGTGATATAAAGCAGTGTGAACTCCCATGCTAAACTATGAGTATTTGCAGTTCCACCCAAAATTCTGCTGCCTAAACATTCCCTCTTATTTCTGGGGACCAGCACCACATTACACGGCCATGGGTTGTGACCAGCCTTCCTGAGGAAGGTTGAGAAATGTCTCTTCAGGGAGAGTGGCAGCCAGATATTCCATCTAATACTGTCATTTCCTTTGGGAATACCTGATTTTTGACCACTGCTATAACAAATGAATGTACTACAAATGTAGGATGTGCTTGTTGAAGGTGCTAGAGATAAAGCTGCTCTGGGCAAGAGTCATAGGTCATCTTTGGAGACTGAACAGCGAGGTAATCAATTACCACAAACTTGCCTGCAGGCCTTCTGTAAATCTGGCTCCGTTCCATAGAAGAAATAACAGCTATGTCCTTTGCCAGGTAATTTTCCAAATGATTATTTTAAATAATACATTGCTGTGATCCAGCAAAAGAGTTTTGAGATTTATTAGAGCATTTGTCATGGAGAGGAGAAGCATTTGGCGAACTCTGCAGGCTGGCAGTGAGCAGCATGGGGCAAGTGGCACACAAAACACCAAAATCTCTGATTGCTCAGGTCCTCTCGGTATTTTTGGAAATGGAAGACAGGGACATGCATCTCATCCCTGGGCACTGGCTGCCTGCATCACTGGTCACCAAGCAGATGGCACTGGAGCTGCTCTGCAATAGCAGGAGGCATAGGGAGGAGTGGTGATAGATTGCTCTTCTCCCTTCCTTGGGCAGGTCTGCACAAATCGCAAAGGATGTTGTCTGGTCTTGAATCTATTGCTCCTTTCTACAGTAAAAACTGAGACACAGTTCTCTTTTATTATCCTGGCTTGAAGCTGAAGCTTATGGCTTTGCACAGAAACCAAGTCTTGGAGAACATGCTCTTATAGATGCTTCAAGTTACTCTGGCCATATGCCTAGTTTTATTTAAAATACAAATGCTGCAGTTGCTTTGGGATTGACAGGTATCTACTTATTGGCAAATAGCTTGACTTTTTCTCATTAAATAGCCCTTTCATGGCTCTGTTGGTGTTGAGAAGGGGCTTCTAGTGGAATTTGGCAGAGATTGCTGCCAGGGTGAAATAAAAGAACCTCTGTGAAACTGAGAAACATATGGCAACAAAATGCATGTCTGCATCATAATAATGGTATTTTTTTTCTTCTTCCTCCAGGTTATCTTGCACCCCGAAACCTTCCAAGTGCAGGCTTCTTCCCATTCCTGCAAACTGTGCTGTGTGATTCAGATGCCAGATGTAAAGGCACACCATACACACCAGAAGATCTGCTGCCAAGGCTTAATGACATCTCATCTCTCAGACTGTAAGGAAATTTGAATATACCTGGGTGTTGCAAGCTGTGGAGCAAAATTTGCTTTGAGGTAGAGGGTGCAGCCATGCATGTGTGCATGTGCAAGTGTGTCCACAACAGGCATCTATCAGGTGTCTGTTACAACAGATGCAGTTTCAGATATTTGGGCACTTAGAAATGAGAATATGGGCTGAAAAGCAGGGAGTTATAAAAACGTTCACATTAGAGACAGCTATTGGTAATGTGTCAGTTGTGTTTCAGGTTTGATAGTAAGAGTTTTACTTATTGAAGAAAATGCTTCTGATTACCCAGATTTCAGAAATCAGAGGAAATGTATGTATTATATATCATTTATTTATTTATTGCATGATTGTGGCTTGGGTCATACGTGATGTTAGCTGATAAGACTACATCAAAAGAGCCCAGCATGCTTACCTGCCTTCTGTAGTGATCAGATCAAGATGTGTAGGGTGGAAGTGGCAAATGTTCCCCAACAGCTCTAGTTTCTGAGATATGTTTATTCTGGACGGACTGCTCTTTCAATAGAGACTCCAGGTGGCGGCCAGAGTGGTTGTCCTCTGTGCATGCCATTAAACATATAGGCAAACAGATGAAAAAGTGAAACATTTTTTCCCCCCGTAAGCATGCTGATTTACAGAGTGGAGCTGGCTAAGCATGTTTTACTGGAACGCTGGTTTGCTGAAATTGAAATGTACAGTGAAGGCATTTCAATCTCAATGATGTTCCAGTGCTAGCCAAGAAGCATTTGCTTTGAGATGTGCCAGCCAGTGTTGTCTCTACATTTTGGCTCCCAGATTCTGGCATATCCCCAGGGAACATGCAGGTCTGAGGTCTGAGAGCAGAAAATGTACACATCTCTCACATCCAAGGTCAAGTTGGTCATCCTTCTTTTCAGGTGACAAGTTGCTCCAGAATGGCTATGCCAGAACCTCAAAATCCCTCCTGGCCGGAGACTGAGAGTCTGAAAAGCTAATGTGGGCTCCAAGTCTTACACTAGGGACTTCATCAGATAGGATCCTGGGTATGGTGCCTCCTCAGGGCTCCTTTGTTTCTAGGGACAAGTCAATGGTTAGGATCTATCCATTGGTTAGAAGGAGTCTGGATGATTAAATGTGTGGATAACTGAAATTATACAAGGTGAATCAAGGTCACACAGCAGAACACAACAATGCTGTGGGAAGACTGTGTGTCTGGATGCTCTTCACTTGCTTCTTCAGTATCACTGTTTTCCTGGGCGTGTTAAACAGTGGTTAATTTGGGGCACTGAAACAAAGAAATGGGGACTTGCAGTGCCAAAGCTGGAGGTTTTCCATGGTTTTTCCATAGCTACAAATCCTTGTTGCTTTCTGGTTTTGATTTCTTTACAGCTGTTTAGGAAATAACTATTTTTTCTTGCCAAGTGAAAATCAAAGGATTTAGTCAAAATGTAGCTCAAGTCACATGAGTCCTCAATAAGCATCTTGGTCACTACTGATGCTAGAAATTAGCTGTGTGAAGTATCACGCAAGTGTGGATATACTTCCCCTTCGGTTGTCAAGGTTAGCTTTAGAAATGCATCATATTCTACAGGAGAACTTTAAAAAAATTAACTAGGCACAGCAAACCTCACAAGATACAGTAGAGTATGAAACCCCATCAGCAGGTTGACTGGGTAGGAGAAGGTTCCAGTAGCCAGCACGTATAGAGTCAACTCTGCCTCAAAAGCAGAATCATGATGGATGAAATTGTCATGAAGGGGAAAGGCTTAAGCTGTGACTCTGATTGTCTGGATGTACTATTGTTTAACATTACATAGTTTGTAACATTCAGCTAACCCAGAATGTTTTTCCTACACATTCTGCAAACCTCTGAAACTATTTTCTAACTTGCCCTAAAACTCTGTCTTGCCAGTGGTCAGCAGAGAAAATAGGCAAGGTTCTCATCCTTTATTCTGTTCCCTAGAAGCATTTACCAAGGTGTGCAAATAGTTGAAGTTTCCCTGAATAGAAGGGTACTAAGTACAAACACTGAGCTCAACATCAACATCTCCCAACATTTTTTCCCCTGAAGTGAAATGTTTGGGAAGGGTGAAGTAAGGTCTTGATGTCTTGAAGGATTTCTTGGTAGAGGTGTACAGCCTGCTGTTATAACTTAGAGCTGTTTCAGCTTACATCAAGGCCACTCTGGTCAGTCTGATCCTCATTAGCAGTGTTGTGAAATTCTGCTTCTTCTGTTGAGCATGCATTGGTGGGGGATACAGTGAAGCCTTCTTTCAAATAAGTGGGAATTGGTTTAAGAGTAGATAACCAAAAATGTATGTCAGTTCTTACTGTCCCTGTGTATCAGGCATGAATGCAATCCCTTCCATCCATTTAGCATTCAATAGCACTGCAGTGTTCTTTCCCAAAATACATACCAATCTTCTAGACAGAACTCAGCATTTACACAACCAGGGTTTCAACAAAGCTGCCATAAAATTCTGCTATAGACACATCCTGAGTTACACTGTAGTTAAATGTAAGCTTAATCATAAGAAACTTAGTTTTCACAGATAACTTTTTTTCTTTTTTCCTTCTTTCCCTCAGTAAGCGGAGGAGCTCATCTAGAGTGTCCAAGGACAACCATCCATCACCATGGAGTGCTGAGGTTCCTAAAAGCAGGAATGCTTCACTGGGTAGGTTATTCACAGCTGTCTGCAAAGCCCTGCTCTTTAAAGGGTGATCTTTCAAAGCACTCTCAACACAGATGCAGTTCTTAGAGCACTGCTAAAATGATTTGTGTGTTCTGTACAGGCAGATGACTGGGGTCATGACATTAGTGCAGATTCTTGGGAATAATTACAAGTAACTGTCTGTAGAAAAGAATTCTGGAATCTGACCAAGAAATCAGGGTTAAATAGTTACACTTCATAGGAGTGATATGAGATTGCAGACTGTTTGGACATTAATTAAAGACCTGGCTATTTATGGAATATTACCTTTTTACTGCCAACGAATTTTCCATGAACACCTTATGATTTTTTTTTCAAATGCATCTCTTAGTCACATTTATCCAGCAAACAAGTCTTCTTCCGTGCCACAGTGGATATTTATTGCTGGTGCTGTTCTCCTCTGACGTGTTTCTCTTTCCTGAAGGAACTTTCAGGCTTAAATTTTCAGTAAAATCATTACAGTTATTATTTATTTGTGGTAATGGCTAGTACTACCTACAAGTCATTATGATGGATAGCCCTTTTGCCAGGGAGCTCACAATCAAATGAATGATTACAGATTTGCATTCTGTGACTGTTCTGCCCCTGTCGTTCAGCGTTCCAATTAACATTCCTGGCAATGCATTCACTCCTTGGTGCATGGGCACACAAAAGGAACTGAACACAGGGGCACAGGGAGAAAAATCAATGAGTGTTTATAGGAACTATCAACTCATGTTGATGGCCACAGTGAAGAAAGAACTCCGTTTTACCCCATATTTAAAAGATAAAATAAAAATCATAAGTCATAGCCTTGGCTGATGTAAACTGGCATAGCTCCTTTGATTTCATGGAGCTGTGTGTTTTGCAAAGGATGCTGAGTGCAAATGTTGGCTGTGGTGTGCACCAGTGGTGACCTAACAGTGTGCCACGATGTGTAGCAGGCAGTGGTGCTCCAAATCTGTCTAAGCTGTTCCTGAATAATGACTATCACCCACTGGTGCCAAGGATACCTGGAGAGCTCTCCCTTATGGGACTGCAAGCTTGAGCTTGTGTGGGCTTCCTTGTAAGGCTGCCTATGTCTCTCCCTGTGTTGGGGAGCTGTGGGACTGTAGAATACAGATGGAAATTAGCATTTGACTACAAGCAAATAGTTAAATACCTTTAATTTCAAAAAAGTTACAGAAGGAAGCAACGTAATCCAGGATTTAATTACTTCAGAAGAAAATCTTAAATAATTACAGGGTGCCATTGGTTGTACCTTTGGAGATGGATTAATGATGGCATGCCCAAAGCTGTAGTCAGTTAGCTAATGTGTAACATGATGTAGCAAAGAGGTTAAAAGACTTAATGTAAAATACAGTGTTTTAAATTGTTATTGCAGCATTCAGGGATTCGGTATCTCATGGAGAAAAGACACTTTGGAATATTTCATCACCATCCAATTTGACTTCTAGCCTCAACATGTTCAACAGAATCCTTAGTTTTGGGAAGGTAAGTCTGTATAATAGCCGTATCTGAGCATTTATGTAGAGGTATATGTAAAGAATTAAAAGCTCAGTGTACCACATATGGCCTTTATTTCTTTAGCATCCTCGTTATTATATGAATTTTCTTTATTTTGGGAAGAGGGAGACAGTTATTGTGGATGCACTTTTAAATTCTGTGGTAAATTCATTATTCTCTAAGTAGAAACCAGATAAACCATATACCTTGGGACATAATACTTTGAATGACCAAAAGTGGCAAGCAGTAACCTGAGGCATTTTCCTCAAAACTTGTCTGAGTTAAGGTGTTCTTTCATGTGAATTTAAAGATGGCTTTGCCACTGAATTCTATATTTGCTCACAGTGGTGAAGCAGTGGTGTCATGTACTGTATGTTTATTATGTAGGTAATTGAATCAATATAGGAATAAATCCTTTGTAATTGAAGCTTGGTAGCACATGAGGGACACCAGTATGCTAGGGACATTTTCTGCTATTAATGGTAGAATATGCTTGCTTATTTTATTAAGTCCTGTAAACACATGCATGCCTGTTTATCTGCATGACTTCCAGAGATTTCAGTGATGCTGTTCACCTGCTAAAATTCTGCATTTGTACTTGTACTGATAGTGCTTTTCACATGTCACTGCTACCCTGTTAAACAAAAAAAAAAAGTCTCAGCACTGTTTAAAGCCATCACAAGTAGAGTATTTCTTTAACCTTGAACATTACACCCTCTAGGGCAAGGTGCAATATTCAGTGGGAGCAAATCTCAAAGTCATTCTGTGTGAGATCTTGTCACGATACGTACCAGCTCCTGGTCTCACCGAAGAGAAGATGGCAGCCAACATCTACAGGACATTCTGCTTTACTGACTCATCGGTTTTAGAGTCCTTTACCCAGGAGTTTAGAAGTCAGTTGTCTCAGGTGAGTGCCTGGGACTTTTTCATGATGTCTGTTAGTAGCCGTGTTAGTTCACACACTTCAGCACGGTGTTTTGGAGGTACAGCATGTCCCCACCTGGCTCAGAATAGCTCATCTCTGTACTTAAGTACGTACAGCACATGGAGGTGAGCTGGATTAGCACAAACACACAGATCTTTGGGAAAGGCAGAGAGAGCCAGCTACCAAATAGTGGCCATTAAGAGCTCCTTACCGTGCCGTGAGGTTTTGTTTCTCGCCTTTATTGCTTCCTCCAGTGACAAGTAGATAGAGCAATGTGAGAACGTGGCATAAATAAGAATATTTAAACCTAAGGGAGGCTCTAAATTTCATCCTGTATTACACCAGCCATATAACTTCATCCAGTAACTCCTGCATTTGATCCAACAACTCATGACTGAAGCAGCACTTGTCTTTGGGGAAGCTATATAATTAAAGCAAATGGATCCTTTAAAGGTAATGCCTTATTTTTTGCCAGTGTGAGGATTGATATTCATTTTTCTTGTATTCCTAGTCTTTGGACTGTTTAGGACATTCTGAATTTTAAGGCTTGTTTAAACAGAGAATTTATTGAGCAATCTGAGGTGTGAAGTTAAAGCACAGTCACTCTCAGTTACCACCTGTCACAAGAGTCCTTTGAATGCATTGTTTGTAGAGTTGTGTAAAAGTGCAGTGCGGACTGAAAAGCATAAAAAGACCCACTAGCAACAGGGTTTTTTCTGCTTAAATAATTTCTTCATTGTTATTTTTTAAGGTGCAACACAACCCACAATACCAGGCAGCATTTGTCAACGAAATGGTCTCATTTCTAACGCTCATCTCCCAAGTGCAGAATGACACCTCCCTGTGGCATCTCTTTTTGTTGGCTCCAGATGTGTTTCAGGGCAGCATGCAACTCCAAGATATAATTGATTTTCTTCAGAATGCGAGCAGGTAAAAATAAAATGCCAGGAAAGGCACTGAAAGGTGATGGGCTTGCGCTGAACACTGAGGATGCATCATTTTCACCTTGAAGGGCATTAACTTAAAAGCATAATTGATTTGGGCAATGCCATGGCACCATTAACGCAGCTAGCAGTGCTTTGATTTTCCATGACTTGTTCACTTTTTAATTGGGATCTTGATATGATCTATTAGTTGTCTTCCATCCTACTTCCATATGCATATAGAAAGAGTGTTGAGCAATACCCCCTGTCCTTCATTGAAGGAAAGCCCTCTTTGCTGGATAGTTGTTCTGCCAAAATGGCAGCTAGCCACTTCCTTCCCAGAAACAACAGAGCCAAATTCAAGTGGCTCTGAACACCTCAAGTATTTGTAGGGAAGGCAGAAATTCACTTTAAAGAAAACAGTTACCAGTTACTGCTGTTTTATTCTTCAAAAATGAATCCCAAGAAAGCAGAGGAGGGAGGGATCCTGGTTCTTCTCCTACAGGGCTTTGACTACTTTTGACTTTAAGAAAGTACCATTTATGTTCTTGCTCAATGGTTTTATGAGAAAACAGAGCAGGCTTAACTGCATTAATTAACTGTGCTGAAATATTCAGTGTTGTCTTTAGGAAGCACATTAAAAACTCTTCTAAAATGGGCTTAGCCTCAGAATGCCTTTCCTGGTCTTTAGTTGCTCTGAACTCTCACTTTCCTCTAATGGATGTGAGTCACCCATGAGACTGGGGAATCTGTACCAAATCATCTATCTATCTATTGACTGTCTGACTGCATTTGCTAGAAAATATTCTGAAGTTTCCTTTTGTTACAGCATGTGGAGGAAAGCAAGCAACAGGTCTTCAGACATTTTTGTTTTTCTTATACCTATGAACAGTTGGGCAAAGATGTCAAAAGGCGATATAGAAATTTTATCACTTTGGTTATACTCAGGCTTAGAGAAGCTTGCTTTTCATCACTAGCATGTTGCCAAGGCATTTAAAAACCTGTATATCTAGTATATATTTAGTCGCAGGATTATTGTATTTGTTCACACTTACTGGCTTGAAGTATCAAGCTTGAGAACTAGCACCATTTTTGTGCCCAGGAGGAATTAATATTTACTATGTTGCTCTGCTTTGTTTTATGACTGCAGAGTTGGGCAAAGTTTTCAGAGGCACAACAAAGAGGCACAGAGAATTTCACTACCCAGGACCGCAGTGCTTTTATGTCTAGCACAGGGCAGTGTAAACTCATGAGTAAAGAGTTACTGCAAATGTTGCACAAATAGTATTTTTAATGAGGCTTACAACAGAACATCCTAGCTAGCCTGGCCGTGTCTTTTACTCAGGCAGTTCTGACCTCCTGAAAAATGCTGTGAAGGGAATTTCTTGTACTAAAAAAAAAAAATGTGGAAGACAAGAAATTGCTCTCAACTAAATACGTCATTTATAACAGCAGCTTCTTCACCTCTGAGACAGGTGCTAACAAGCACCTCTGCAAAATGGAAACCGTGTGCACGAAGTCCACAAAACCTTCATGGAGGCATTATGTTAAATGAGAAGAGATCCCTGGTGCTCTGTTCTCACTGGCAGTCTGTTCCCACAAATCACTATATATATATTCATACCACTAGAATCAGCTCAGCTAGGTGTTGTGTGCATCACCAGTAGAACTCTGAGCAGGCAAGAGATTATGCATTCCACAGTGACCTTAGCTAGAGCAAAGAGTTGCTCTTTATGTAGGAGAAGGAAAAGGGACAAATAATCACCGTGAAGTTTTCAGTAACCTGCACACACTGAACAGGCAATCTTTCAAATAGCTTTGTCTGTGATACAATATGACTGATTGTCAGCTTGTTCTTTCCAGAGACTGAAAAAATGTATACATATAGTCCTTGCTTCCCTGAAAGCCTGGTTATTACAATATAAAAGAGGAAAGAAGGAAAATTGGACATGGTAGAAGTTATGTATTTGTGATTGCTTCTTCCATCTGCAAATACCATCTCCAAGGAGCCTGTTCTCTCAGGAGCCTTGTCTGCTCTGCCTCTTGCTTTCTCTTAGGAGGAGTTTCACCCACAGCAGTGAATCACAAGGGCGGTGTATCACCTGAGTGTTTTCTAAGCCCTATTATGAGGATTTAAGTGGTCTATAGATTTTGCATAACCCATTGAATAAATGCTTCCAATGAATGCAATACGCACATTACTGCTAATATACCACCACGGATCTCCCTTTGAAGCCCTTTATCTTTGTATCTTGTGCATGATCAAACAAATACTTAAAAATAGGAGCATTGTCTTTTCTATCAGAAGTTTTAAGAATCATAGGATGTACTCCAGCTGTTTCCTATCTGAACACTTGCTTTATTTCTTCTCGTAAACCTGCAACCACTATTTATTTTCCTTGTGCTTTTTTTTTTCCCCTTTAGTGCTGTGCTGGCAGCTCAGAATGTCTCTCCATCACTTGTTACTGATGATAGATTCAAAACTGTTCAAAACGGGGTTACAGATCCCCCATATTCCTTGAATTGCTTGGAGCAAGGTAAGATTCCTGCACACAGTCATATCTCTGCTGAAAACCTGTGGTGCCCAGGATAAGCAAACTGCAGGCTAATAAGTAACCATACCAACTGCATACTGTTCAGGGCTCAGCATAATGAATTCTCCTTTCAACTTTTTACAAACGTGAATAAAGTACCTCATTTTGACTGGAAAAGCAAAAAAGCTTGGTTTTGTCAGGAGATTATGCATTAACATGAGTTGCAGTCTCAGTGGAAATGGAGAGCAGTAATTTTTACCTTGAGTTTTTTTTTGTCAATACCTGCCTGTAGCTGTGAGCTCTGTCAAACTCTTGTGGCTATACCAAAGTAGGGATTGAGACTGGACTTGTACATGTCAGGAGTAGCCATTCTTCTACTCCATTCACTTTCTGTTTACAGTAGAGATAGAGACATCTATCTCTTAACTGAGGTAATATGAGTGGGCAAGGGAAAGGTTCAGCATGTAAGTGCTGCCAGGGACAGACTCTAAATGCCATCCATTCTCTACTTGTTGGTTGGTGGAGTTGGTGGAAGTTGGGGTGAATAAGAAAGCAGATTAATGACGTGCAAGTAGGAGAAGACATGGAGATGTGAAGGGTGGAGAGGCCTGGACCACAAAAAGATATCAAGATGAGTTTAACCCTGACAGAAATAGATTATGCAGTCAAAACTCAGGTGCAGGTAGTAAAAAGTTTCCCTATATGAACGGTGAGAAATCCAATAATAATATTAGGCCAATTTGTGCTGTGTTACTGATAGAAAAGTGGTCCTAAATCAGGAGGAGAGCTCTGTTTGCACTCAGACCATTGAACTGTTTCTGAGATAGAAAATCATTTCTTCAATGGCAAGTAGGATCCTGACTTTCCACCCTGAAGGGGCAGTTCTATCTAGGATCTTGTGTCATGTCATAGGAACCTAACAGCATACGTGCATATTTTATGTGACAGATTTGCTAAACAGCTCTTCTCAGTTTCCCAGACTAATATGAATATCACCTTTATCTGTTTGCTGTAGATAAAGAAAAAAGTTTGGTGATCAGATATATTTGTAATCACTTCAACTGGAAAGATAAGTGGACTTTAGTATCAGAGTTGGAAGAAGTTCTGAGGTAAGGCATTGACTAAAGGGATATTACTAACATTACAACTCAAATCTATGATCTTTGCTCTAAATCACATTTCTAGTTGCATTGATTTCATATTCACTAAAATGCTCTTTTTTTTCCCTTCAGAAAAATAAAGTTACCAGAGATTGGTGGAAAAGTCTCCAAGAGGTCCATTAATTCAGATGATTTAGAAGCCATACAAAAGTCTCTACATCGTTTAAAAGGCTTTGAGAAAAAAATGAATAGAAGTGAATTAAAAAGCTTAAATCTATTCAGAAATTTGAAGAATGAAACATTACAGAAATTGTACGCAATTCTTGAACTGGGAATGACTCCACATCATGATTATAAATTAAAGGAAGAATATAATAAGGAAATAATTGATGAAATCTATAACTTGACATCACAGCAATTACAGAGCAACTTTAACGGGACTTCCATTTTCAATATAATGGCCCAGTGGAAAGAAATTCAGGGTGCTTTAAAATTAGCTACAATGATTTGGAATCCAGTTTTGTTAAATAATTCTAATTTTAGTATAGCACAAACTGAGAATGCTCTCAAAACTTTACTCACCATTAGCATGCCATCATTTCTGGGAGACTTAAGAGATCGTTTCAATGGAGTTGAAGAAATACCGTCTTTGATTTCTGATTATCTTCTTAAACCTGTGTCGTATAGAAGCTTTCCAGACCAACTCCTAGCTCTCCAAAAGATATTTTTTATATTGACACATAAAAACATAGGTTATGACTACCTACTGTTGCCTGCATTTGAGCTGATGCGGAAAGTAGAAAGCTCCATGGGTGAATCGCGGTGGCATGAACTGAATGGCTATTGGCGCCTTGCTGAAAAGCTCAGATCAATGCAATGGAATAATACAGGCATCGTAGCCTATGGGCAGTTTTTAGAGGTATTAAACAGCCATTTTGAAAAGCTGATTAATAATTCAAATAGTCTTTTCAGTGAACAGTTTGGTCAACTGTCTGAATTTATAGCAGCTGTATTTAAAGAGTTTGATGGGGAAAACTCTGAAGTAGCCAATATCTCGCTAGTTACTCAAGCCATACAAAAGACCTTGTATGTATTAAAAGACTTACAACTCAACTATAATGTCAGTAAATTAAAATATATAGATCTGTTCTTTAATTTTGACAATAAAACCTTTGAGAGATTTTCTGAACTTCTGAGGACAGGAATGGAAATCCTCCACTATAGAGATGCCAGTGAAGCTTCCACTGAAGAAATGATTAATGCTGTCTATAACTTAACACGTCTTGTACTGCAGGAGTTCAGTGAGTCTTCCTTACCACACAAGGCAAAAATCTGGGAGTTTTTGCATGTAGCCTTGAGCCCTTTTCTTGAGAATAGAGACGGCAGTGCCAGAACAATCCAGAATTGCTCTGCTCGGGATGTGCTCCACGTAACACTTCAGATGCTTTTTGAGAATGCCTCTCTAAGTGAGTCGTTAGCCTCAAGCCCCTGCAAAGACCTCTTTGCCTCCATGGATGTCGAGAGTGGAACTGCACGCAATGAAACCTTCACCAAAATGTTCCAGCTTGCCATAAGGAACTTGAAGCTGTCTCCAGAGTTTGCTGCTGTCTACAAGAACAGCAGTGAACGCTTTTCCAAGGAGCTGTCGTGCACCATCCAGTCTCTGCAGTTTTCCCTGTGTTTCCTTTCCAAATTAAAGCTCATCTCTGAGGTGGAAAACTCTTGGGTAGAGGAGAAGATGAGAGCTCTGGCTGCTCTCCTGGAGACACTGCTGCAGGGCAATGCCTCCTGCCCCATCCCAGCCCAGGAGGTGGGTGGTGGGCTCCCATCTCAGCTTTTGAAGATGCTCCTTCCTTTTGTGCTGAATGAGACAGAACTGAATTCCCTGAATTTCTCTGCCAGCTCTGCAGGCTGGTGTAGGGTGCCTGTGTTTACTCATCTGTTACCAACTATTTTCACTTGGAACAACAGTATAAATGAACTACTAAAGGTTGGTGGAAATGCTTCCCACGGGTCTGAATGGGGTCACTTTTTGCGTCTGTGGCACGCCACTGGCAAGGTGCTGACCACCAAATGGAACCTAACGGAAGTGGATGAATATGTGAAACTCCTGGAAATTGTGAAAAAAGCCCTAATTCTTGTGGACTTCGGGCTAGCTCCTGGAAGAACATTAGTATATAATATTTTTGGTAATTCTTCTGAAGGAATGAAATCCTCAGATCTGAATGATTATTATAGTTTATTGAAACACTTCTTCAATTCCACTTCTGCTACAAACAGCACGCTGGAATTGGAAGGAATGCTTCAGGAAATGATCCCACTGTATGAGACAGGTGGTGAAGGATTGTTTTACACTAATCCCCAAGGGAAGGAAAATCAAGATATTCTGTCCACAGCTGCAGTGATTTGGAATCGGATCATCTTAAACAAGACTCATTTTAATACAGAGAAGACATGGGAGGTTATCAAAATGATTGCACTTCATGCAGTTTTGCTTGAAGACATAGAAAATTATCCCAGTACGAGTGAAGAAGTGTCATCATTATTTTCTGACTTCTTGTTGACCCCTATAACTTCAGAAAATTTTGCAGAACAGCTCTTGGCTCTCGAGAAGCTTCTTGCTGCTGTGGCAAGGGTGAATACCAGTGATCATTATCTGCTGATCTCTTCTTTGTCTAAGCTAATGCAGAAGCTCCAGAGTTCTCCTCATCGAAGGCAAGTAAATGAACTTCATGCTTTCTCCCAGATTGCTGAAGTTGTTCAGTCCATGAACTGGGACAGCACAGACAGTCTTTCTTTCCAGTCTCTTCTAGACATACTGCAGAATCAGTTCGGTACCATGCAAAATGACTCAAGTCTTCCTTTCAGTAAGGAACTGAAGCAGATAATGTCCTTTATTTCCTCCATATTTGAGCTGTATGATGAAGATGACTCCATGGGAGCCCTATACTCACAAGCCATACAAAGGAGTATCTTTCTTGTAAAAGATTTGCAGAAAAGTTACAATATCAGTGACCTCGAAGCTATTAACCTATTATTTGATTCTTACAGCAACTCTACCCAAAGATTGTTTGAAATGTGGAGAGCAGGAATGAAAGCCCTTCACAACACGAATGTAAACAAAACATTTGAAGAAAAAACAGACATTGTCTATCATTTCTTCCATCTGTTGCTGCCGAAGGAGTTCAGTGAGTCTTTCTTACCACGCAATGCTTCACTAGAGGCTAGAGCAGTGGATCTGATGTTCTTAGCCTTGAGCCCTTTTCTTGAGAATGGAGACAGCAGTGCCAGAACAATCCAGAATTGCTCTGCTCAGGATGTGCTCCACGTAACACTTCAGATGCTTTTTGAGAATGCCTCTCTAAGTGAGTCGTTAGCCTCAAGCCCCTGCAAAGACCTCTTTGTCTCCATGGATGTCGAGAGTGGAACTGCGCGCAATGAAACCTTCACCAAAACGTTCCAGCTTGCCATAAGGAACTTGAAGCTGTCTCCAGAGTTTGCTGCTGTCTACAAGAACAGCAGTGAACGCTTTTCCAAGGAGCTGTCGTGCACCATCCAGTCTCTGCAGTTTTCCCTGCGTTTCCTTTCCAAATTAAAGCTCATCTCTGAGGTGGAAAACTCTTGGGTAGAGAAGAAGATGAGAGCTCTGGCTGCTCTCCTGGAGACACTGCTGCAGGGCAATGCCTCCTGCCCCATCCCAGCCCAGGAGGTGGGTGGTGGGCTCCCATCTCAGCTTTTGAACATGCTCCTTCCTTTTGTGCTGAATGAGACAGAACTCAGTTCCCTGAATTTCTCTGCCAGCTCTGCAGGCTGGAATAACCTGTCCATGCTCTTCAGCATGACACAGAGCGAGCTTCTCATGAACAACATGCTGCAGAGGTTGCTGGATTCTTACAACCTCACCAAATTGAGCTATTTCTCAAGCATTTGGGATGTAGTTGACAGGTCACTGAACAGTGAAAGGAATCTAGCTGAAGTGGCTGCTTTTGCAAAGTTACTGGAAGCAGTGGCAAACAACCTTGCCAGCAATGTGTCAGCTCTAGACATGATAGAAGCTGGCCACTATGTTCTTAAGCTGCTGAACATCTCTGATCTGCTAACTGAACTCACTACAAGTTCCAGCTCAGCTTCTCTCTCCAATAAAACTATTTTGGATGCTGTGTTTGACATAGTCACTCATCACTTCATTGACATGGCAGAAACCCTGTACAACAAGACCCTGCCTTGGACTCAAAGTGACCAAACCCTGTCACCCACCAGTCTCATCACACGGTGAGTTTGGGTTTTGGATACTAATTTTTTTTTTTTTTGTGAGTCACAACTATCATTTACTTCCAGCATTACAAAAAGTTTCTTCCAGTTGTGCAATTTTGTTCTGAAATCACCTTAATTCAAGATACCAGATGTAACGTGGGTTAAATCAAAGGACAGTAAATTTCTGTCTGAGATGCACATATAATTGAAAGTAGGCTTTCAAAAAATGTCTGTGTTGATATGTCTCAATTCACAGTATAAGTAGAATTCTGTAGGAGGCTTCCCACCAGTAGTAAACTCTTTGGAATCCCTTCTTTTGTGATATGACTTTAATTTTTGTTTCTTAGCCTCCTGTAAGCATGCCTTTCCCTAAGTTTTGCATCCACAGTGAATCTTTCAAGCATGTGTTCTTTTACTTATGGTTTGAGAGTGAATGACAGCTTTGGGAGATAATGGCAGAAATAATGGATGAAATAAAAGAGGATGGGTATCCACTTAGGAAATATTGTGAGAGATGCATGGCTTCATCTGGGATTCTTATTTACAGCTGCCAAGGAGCAGCATCTGCACAGCTGACAGGTCGCTTGCTAACATCCCTTGCTTCTGAAGGAGAAGCTGATTTAAATTCCTACCTTATTTTTTCAGGTTTCTGTTTTTAGAATTTGAAAGCACCATCTTACAAGTGACAGTGAATAACAGCTATAACCCTTACCTGATGTGTTTAATAAATGCCACTGAAGTTGAAGACAGCGAATTGACAGGTAATCATGATTCCATTAATGTTGTGGGACCTCAGCTGCAATATGTTTGTGTCTGACTTTTCAAAGGGTTCTGTGTAATGGTGGGAAGGAATAGTGCTACATGTTTTCATCTGCTTGCAATTAACTGCAGCTGTGAGGCTTAGGGAAGCCAGACTCCTCTTTGTTTGAGTTATGTCACGTTGTGGATGTGTTTTCCATCCAGCTATATACAAAAGGCACGTGTGCTGTTCTCTGTGTGATGACAGGTTGCTGACACTCAGATAACGAATCCTTATGAATAGAAACCTATTTTCCCTTCCAAGCTTTATGTACCCTTAAGATGACAGCAGTTATTTTGAGAGCCAGCATGATATTTCAAGAAGATATTCATGATATATGCTTATTGTAAAACCTCAGAGGTTTATCTGCTGACAGAATAGAGATACCGAGCATGCTCTGAAGCTCACTGTTGGAAGTCCTGTTTATAGTGTGGGGTGTGTTTCCTTAGGAGCTGAGCACCTACTCAAACTGGATTAGCAGGTTGCAATCCAGATCTTGGACTGTGATTTCAGAGGTCCTGAGCCAACTGAATGTTGTAGAAGTTAACAATGCTCAGTAGGCATTGGCATGAAAGTGCCAATATCCCCATCTATGAAGTTTCTGTAAGTCTGGTGTTTTTGTTTCGAGTAACTTTTGTTTTCATCTTCCCACAGAAAACATCATGCTGCTCTTGAAGCAAACTCATCTGAAAAAAAACTATTTTATGCAAAATAATACCTCTGAGGAACATTCATCCATACCAGAGCTCCTGAAGCTAAAAGTGAGTCTGCTTAAAATGCTGACTTGAAGGACATCCTGCAGTGATACATGAATGTGCAATGGAAATTTTGGAAAACAGCATATGAAGAAAAAAGTCTTCACAGAACAGCTGATAAAAGCTAGAAAGGAAACTGTCTTCTGCCTGTACTTAAAAGTCATTACTTTCCTGGGCTGATGAACTTATTGCTATACAAGTCCTATGCACAGTGTATACCCAGTTTTCTGAGAGGGTAGATGTCTTAAAACACTGCAGTAGTTTCTGAGATCAAGCACCCAAGCAATATTTATTTATGGATTTCCCTAGCCAGCTTTGGATTTAGCAATGCCTCACTTGAATAAAATACTTCTCATATCATATATGTTTTAGGTGTACCATGTATGCACTTTATTCTGTCTCAAGAAGAGAAATAGAAGAAAGTACAAAAAAGCATATTTTTAAAAAGGATAAATTTTCCATGCTGTTACTGCTTATTATATCTATAAAAACAATATGATGAGCTTCTCTGTAACATGTACTCAGGCATACAACAGATGGCAGTTCTTGCTATGGCTGATAATGTAAAGAGGGATGTCAGAAAAGAGGAAAACCCATGGTAGGAGACTAGACAAAGGATTGTAATTTGCACATCAAGCTGGCAGAGGCAGAAGTTCTGACTTATAGCTGGCTGCTGTTCATATGCTGTTTTCATGTACTGTTGTAGGGATGACCAACTGGTATCCAAATAGCTATACCTATCACAAAAGGAATAATTGGTGTGAGTTGTTCTATTTGAGACCTTTTGGATTAAATACAATAATAATTAAAAAATACTAATAACCCTACAGAAAAACGCAAAGGAACAGCTAGACTTTAAAACTTACCTTTTTAAAATTCTGTCTTCTAACTTGTGCATTTGTCTTCCTTTTCAAAATGTTCTTTGAAGATATCTTTCCTCCGGAATCTGACAACACTTCTTTGTGACTACGAGAGCTTTAAGTCAATACAGCATATTTGCCATCTCCCTAATGTTAGCTTTGGAGAACTCTGTGAACAGAGTCAATCTCATGAACAGCTTCTCCGTGCTATTGAGCTGAGCAATCAAGTTGTGACCAATGTACTGAATGGCAGAAGGGTCTCCAAGGAGCTTTGGAATGTACTGATTGGAGATGCCACAGATGTCCAGGCACAAATGAAGTGGTGAGGCTCTTCCTCCAAGTTAGACTGCCGTAATATTCTATTTATGAAACTATACAGTGGCTTCTTATCTTCTTCTCATATTCCCAAATTTGTGGTTATTATTATTATTTTTTTTCCAATTTAGGTTTCAAGAAAACGTACCAGAAATTGCTTTTTTTCAAGAGATTCCTCAGTATATGACAGCTTTGAATTCCATGTTGAACATCACAGAGAATTTAACAGACTCCAGCGTTCCAGGTACTTTTCTGCATTTTCCTTACAGTGTTCATTTGTGAACATCATCATTGGCATCATAACTTCTACTGGAAATCTCAAGACATGTTTAGCTGCTACTAAGAAATAAATCCTGATTATTGTGATTAAATTAATGAAGTAACTGAACACCATGTCCCATGTCCTTGGGATCCTTTGTCTAGGATAATTCTAGAGACAGTGCTAGGCCAGCCTTGTTTATTCTGTACTGCCCCAAGAATTTGAGCAGTGAAAATCCCAAGTCTTTGTATTTGTGCAAACTTTGCTTTCACTAAACCTGTCATCTTTAGCTCATAGTGGGCAATCGGACTGCAAAACTAAGGAAATAGGACTCTTCTACAAGTTTTTATTTTGTTTTTGTTTTAATTTGCAATGATATACGGCACTTCCACCTTTTACCAAAAGTAAAGTCCTCTCTATGCTCTTGAGGTCACTGTACATCTGTAGAGAGCTGTTGTATCGATTTCTGTTTGATTTCATTCACAGAAAAGTTAAGAGATGTGTTTAAAAATGTGGACCAGCTCAAAGAGGATCTCAAAAACACAACAAGAATGTCCACAACCAGTATCGATGCTCTTCTGGAAGCATCTCTCCCAGAAAACAGCAGTCACGTAAGTTTGTTGTTATTGTAGTGAGAGATCCTGTTGACAGCACAGGGAGAACAATGGCCCAACAGGGACAGACCAGCATAGCATGTTATAAGTCAGATTAGCCATCAGAAATGCAGTCACTGGTGCCAGTTCAGCCATTAGAGAACAAGAGCCATACGATCTCTTTGGCTGTCACCAATAGCTGGTAAGCTGCTACTGCTATGGACTGCTTGATGCATGATTGCTCCAGTCTGTAGCTGGGGCACAGGTCACTGTAACAGACTAATGAGGACCTAGCAGGGTTGTTGTTGGGGTTCTCAGTGCTGAAAGTTGTTGCTGTCTAGATGGAAAAGCACAGTTCTAGTCAGGATTCGATAATTAGTCAGGGGTCCAAAATAGCTTCCTGTAATGAAAGGTGAGCTTTCCTTCCTTAGCCTCATGTGCAAATGGAGCTCCAGATGCTTTTCCTCTTCCCAGCTATCTTCTCTGGACTGAACCCTAAAGAGTGTGCTCTTTTCCAGATTTCATATACATCAGTCAATAGAAGTCACAAAAGCTTTTGCTACTGTGCAAGCTGAGCAGTAGAACACAATCCTTAGGATTTTTCCCTTGGAGTCGGAATTTTCTGGCATTTTCTGAAATTCCATCCATCAGTGTGAATGGAACAACAGCTGGGCAAGATTAAATGATGTATGCTGGAGTAAGTAATCCAGCCCTTAACAAATCTTTTCTTTCTTTTGCACAGTTAATTTCTCAGATTCTCCAACTGGAGTCTTGTAGCATCCATCCTTCTGACCCACATCTGCAAATAGTAGCAGAAGAGTTCTGCAATCTCTCTCTTTCAGAGAGGACTCGTGAGACATACATCCTTGGGGTCACCCTGTTACGACACGTAGACGTTTACAATTTCTTATACAAGGTTAGTATTGGATTTGAAGAGTGCTTTCTGTAGTCTTTGCTGCATGTAGTGGCTGAAAGGATTGCAGTGGCCAAAAGCAATGCTGATTTACACAAGCCAAAGATCAGGCTTTGCTCATGCAGTAATCTTTATTGGATATCCGTGCTGTGACAGTGTGGTTGGAAATGAAGATCCCAGATGGTGTAAACCAGCAAACCTAATTTAAAGGCACTGGACTTACTGTAAATGCTTCCCTATCTACTAGTGTCACCTGTGTGCTGTCACAACCTATTGAACATTCCCAGTTGAGTTCAGGCTTCCCAAAACAAGGCACTGGGCTAATTATTTTTATCCCTTGAAAAGGAAAGCCTTCAAAAATGTCCCATAAAATGTATTTTCCCAATTTAGTTGTCACTGCCAAATTATTAAATGATTCAAATATCCCACGCATGCACAAGTACATAAACAGCAAGTAAAAACACTGTTCAGTGAGTACTATGTACTGAATACACATTTTAAAATGCCATAGAAGCAATCCTGAGGGGAAAAAGTTGCTAAGTGAGAATGCCAGTCAATTTGGCTGAGGTCAAAAGTCACTTGTAGTGTTTGACATCTGTGTTGTGCAAAATGCTACCTCTTAGAAACTTGGATTACATCCCAGTGAATACCTGATACACGTTTCCCAACTGCAGGTGTTTGGAAACTTGTGCCATTTAGGATGTGTAACATGTATGAGAGAGGGTTGCAAAAGCATGTGGGGATTTAGAAATACTAATCCCATTTATTTCCCATGGGACATCCACTCCCTAAGCCTCCTGACAGTTTTGAACATCCCACAATTTCCATCTTGGAATTAGCAGGAGATCATGGGCGTGTGCCTGCATGTGCACACACATTCGTGCAAATTGTAATTGATTTCCTTCCTGCCTCTTGCAGATGTTATTCCCTAAGGAAATTCAGAAACCTGTGGACAAGATATTAAACCTTCTGACAAAAATGAAATATTTCCGACACCAGGTAGAGTCTGATGTTGATCCATTGCTACAAGCCATTCATTCACTGAAAAAGCTCCGGCAGTCTAGAAGGATGCCACTGAGTAAGGTATGTGTAGTCTGCATTTACTTTGGAGGTAAAATGCCATTGGAACAGTTTCCACTGGAATTTCTTACCTTAGAAGCTGAAGGTGCACTAAAGCATAGATTGCTGCTTCCTCTTTTAAAGCAGTAAAGTCCTATGACTAATCTCTACTAAACTCTTGCGTTGCCTTAAAGGGAGCACTTAGATTTGATGCAGTGGGACAGGTATGTGTTCAGTGTTGTTGGAGGAGGGAATGCTAGGAACAAAAATGCAGAGAATGAGCAACTGGGTGATAGAGCACTGGAACAAGCTGCCAGAGAGGTCGTGGAGTCTCCTTCTCTGGAGATATTCAAAACCCACCTGGATGTTTTCCTATGCAACCTACTCTAGGGAACCTGCTTTTATCTCTGGGATTTGACTGGATGATTTACAGAGGTCCCTTCCATCTCCTATGATTCTCTCATTCTGTGAACTGTCTTGAAGGACGGTAGACTTCCCCCAAAATATTCAGGTGCACTAGAAGAAATCAGATGGTGAAAACTTGGAGAACTTCCCACTACAAACCATCCAAAACCATTTAAGCCAAGAGCAAAAGTTTGTTCCAGCTTTGGTATGCTTTACACCATGTCTGCAGCCTCAAGACTGCCCAAAATATTCAGTACAAACCCTGCTGCACCAGCAGTAATAACTTCAGATTGTACTAAAACCATTGGATCCTTTCCTCTTCTGATCTACAGTCTTGTACATATGCCTCTGGATGGCCTTGCTGCACATGTTATGGGCAGTACCCACACCAACTCCCTTACCTTGAAATGATTTTTTGACCTCTAACGTAGCAGAGGTTAGCCATAAAAGCATGCTTTCCCAGGAAAGCCTCTCATTTTGAACAAACAAACTTCTTGTAATAAATCACTGTAAAAGTACTTAATCCTTGCCTTCTAATTCTGTTATCTCTTTTTCCTCTTAAGAACAGGATGCTTGTAGCATACGTGATGTATTTGTGTGCTGCTTTTTTTTCCCCCTCTTCTGCAGGTGCTACTTAAACCAAACAACTTTAGGGTAACACATGGCACATTTAAATCCATGTCAAAAGTTCTCTGCAATCAGGAGATCACACCCCTGTTCTTTGAGTCCTTGCTTCCTGATTTTGGAGACCCAATAAGAAACAGTTCTGCGGAGGATGTCCACGTCCAAAAGATGATGAGGAAATATGGGATTCCTCATGATTCCAGTAAGTCTGGCTTTTTCATATATTAAATACATTTCAAAGCTCACATTTCCAAAGAGATCCATCACCGATCTTGATGTTTCTCTGAGGGCTCATGGTTTATGCCAGTTGAAGATCTGCCTCACCCAAATTACTGGTGGCTTATTTTTATAGGCATTAAAAGGCAAGCAGCCTGCACAGCCCAGCAGTATTTGATACTGCACCACTTCCCATTTGTTGATGGTACAGTTCTAGGGCTTGACAGGTCACTGTTTTTTCTTGATACGTAGTTTTCCCAACTGTGCTGACATTATTAGCTCTACTGAGTTCACAAAACTCCATTTAACCTCCAAGCAGAGAATCCTGGCTCAAACAATGAGACTCTTGTTGTCTTGAGTTCAGCAACAGGAGATTTTGGGGATGGATTGCTTTTGTCAAGACACATTATATCACTCAGTGAAGAGAGGCCTGAAGTCATTTGCTGGACGTAGCAACAAATTGGGCCAAGCTTTCTCGTGTCTGGTCTACTTGTGCTCTGTACAATTTATTTGTTTTTCTCCCTTTGCAGCACCGTTTTGTTTATCTTTCTACCTGGATCTGGTCAAGACACCAACTGGAGCTTTAATTTGGTCTTTTTTAAAACCAATGGTGTTTGGGAAGATCCTTTATACACCAGATACACCAGAAACTCGAGCAATCATGGGAAAGGTATGGCTCTGCTTATGCTACATGAAGATACACCCTCTCAAAGGGATTTTAATTTGTGTCTAGCACAGGCTGGTTTCTTTCAGAAGCAGAACTCTATTTTCTGATTATTAGGAGTATTAGTCAGATTTATTTTTTTGTAGTTCCATTGCTGGTTGTATGTGTCACTCCTTAACTTTAAATGAATGTTACCTCAAAAAAAAAATTGTTCTGATATTTATAGTACAGGGTTTTTTTTAAGGCTTTCAGTTCATGAGGCTTTACCTCCATATTTTCAGCTAGTAACAGAGATGTCTCCCAGAATACTCACCAGTAGTAGCAAACAGGCCAATGATAGGAAGAAGGCATGCTCCAAATGCCATGTATGAAACTGCATTTTAAGTACTTATTTGCAGAGGAATTTTGCCAGCCAGTGATAGAGTGCAAAGTAAACCCTAAAGAAACCAAACTGAATCTCAGCTATTTATTTTCCTCAATTATTTTTTAAAGCTTTCACGTAAGTAATTAATAAATTGAAACTTACGTGTTGTTGTGGACTTTCTTTATAGTCTAATGCCACCTTGAAGCAGATGGCTGATCTAGCCCTGAAGTCACAGGAATGGCTGGATAAGTCTCCTGCCATCATGAATTCACTGACTAAGTTAAACCAGACGGTTCCAATGATCAAGGTATGAGATCTCACTGTCTATCCTTTTCTCCCACAGGGAGGATGGTTCCTTTCACTAAGAAAAAAACATGGGGTTGGAGTAATGACAGGGACACCTGAGCTCATGCTTTTGGCCCGCACTTCAGTTTCCATGCCTGTCTGCCTGTTCCCATCACAGAAATACTCCTGATGTACCTTTCCATGCAAATCCCCTTTATGAAATGATATGTCTATAATACGCTTTCTGACAGTGGCCTTGCTGAGGGCTGCTGGAAGGCTAAGATGAGCAGGGAATGCTCTTCAGTTTGTAAATTAACTTTCTGCTTGGTGGAGTGATCCAGCCAACCAAGACCAGGCAAGAAATGACTTTTTCAGAAAATGAAACAGTATCTATAATAAGCATGTAGCTCTGGGTGCACACATAAGAGCTTGGAGATGTCTTTGTACCTCAGTGAATATAAATAAAATTTCTTTTTCCCCTTCCAAAGAGCCTTGGTTGGATGCAAAAAGCAGCAGGCTGTAATGCTTTACATACATGCGTCATGTTTGCCATGGTACAAATTGTCACCTTTTCTTAAAAACTATGAAAATGAGATCTCTCAAACTCTAAAGCATTCAAAAATAATTTCAGTGGCTGGAATTCATTGTAATTTCCATGGCACAGAGAAAAAATCCAGAGCAGAAAATGCAAAAGTGAAATGAAATATTTTCTGCTGACTGCACTCAGTGGTGGAATAATGAAATATTCAGCCAAATAAAAAACTGACAGACAGTCTCCAAACTAAATTTTGGACCCTACCCATTCTGTGCTGGCTGTGTTCACAGGATTTAAAACACACAAGTGAAATTAACTGCACTTTTAGTCCTCATATTAAAGAGTATGCTTGATTTTTTTCCATGGGGGTCTAATGCCTGGTGGAGAGTCAAGAGGCATCTTCTGCTGACTCCAGCAAACATTATCTTTCTTCTTTTCATTGCCAATGCTTTCCCATCTTGAAACACAGAGTGAAGAAGAGCAAATCAAGAAAGGAGCAGGAAAGTACAAATGCTACTGAAGACAGCTGGTCTGCTGTATTTTAGCAATACACCAAATAACCTTGTGGGATTTGTGGTCAAATGCTTTTTCTCTTTGCTTGTTGACAGAATGCCCTACAGAATCCCTTTGTGCAGGTTTTTATCAAGATGATGGTTGATTTGGATGCAGTTGAATTGCTGAGTCAAATAAACAAGCTTGGTAAGTTGTTTCATGTACCCTACCTTCGTGTTTGTACTTAAGGTCTGGGAGCTCCAGAGTCATCAAACCGTGGTCATCCTCCAATCCTGCTCTCTCTGGCCAGTATTGGAGATGAAACAGTCTCAGATGTGATTCTAGACCTTGTGGTTTGTCTATGGGAAAAGACTCTTAGAAAGCAGAGGGCTTGTGTGAGATGTTTCTCCTGAGAGCCATAGGAATGGTAGAATGGGAATCTCTGCAGCTGATTGTGGCCACTGGAGGACACTGTTTAGCCATAATTATCACTTCAAATGAGCTACCTGGGACTCTGATGGGAAATGCTGAGCTCACTTGCATCGCATCAGGGTTTCACTTAAAAATTTTCCAGAGCAGGGAAGGAAGGGATGAGCCCATGCTGGTGAGGCCAGGAGCATCATTATAAAATATCCCCTAATGCCATTTGCTGTTTTCTTGAGTGGTCTTTCAAATTGAGAATTGCTGATCTGCACTGTGGGAATCAGTGCTACCAGCTCTGGTGGATGTGTTACCTGTTAGTGCACAGTATGGTGCTCACAGCCCCTCCTGGCTGGTCTCATTGCCCCTGCTCACTTTTCAGTGTATCCATACATCTCAACGTAAATCTGATCTATGCCAGAAAACCTAGCATGAGCCAAAAGTAGTTTTAATCTGTTAAAGTCCAAACAATGTGAACATGCTGTTCATGATGACCCCTGTGTTATTTTATGAGTAGCATCTCCTATCTGAACTCCCCATAAAATCATCATGCCTGCAGCAGCTGTTCCATATTAGTTACGCTGCGTTATGCAGTCACCTTTTAAAACAGCCAGCAAACAGCAGTATCTTTATTAAACTTCATTATCAGGTTTAGTACACACATCAGCACGACAGACATAACTTTCCCTTGATATGCTTGGATAATGCCCATTCTCCCCTGAGACAGAGCAGTTCAGCAGACGTGTTGATTACATCAAAAACCATAAGATGCAGAATGAATAGTCAGCATCATATGCAGGTCTAGAAACCCAGCAGGTTAGTGGCAACTTCTGATTTGGGATGGCTGTCACATCACATCGCTGGCATCCTCCCAAAGGCAAACTCATGAGCATATTACAAATGATTAACATAAAAATTGGGTCAACAACATGCCTTCATTGCACCGCAAAGTGCAGAAATGTGTTTGTTAATGTTATGTGTGTGATGTCTTTTCTTCCTTCATGGTGTCATTGTTGGTATAAAGAGCAGGATGATTTGATGGATTTTTTTTTATTATTATTATTATTATTATTTTGCTATGTGTACTAATGCTGTTGGTCTTATTTGTGTTTATTTTCTAGATGATATTCGGCTGGAATTACAGAACAACACTGACATTGTTGATCAGCTGAACACATTAGCTACCCTTGCAGTAAATGTGTCCTCCTGTGTCTCATTTAATCGCATTCGGGCAGTCAAAACCTTAGAGGAAATGGAAAAGATGGCTAAAGAACTCTTCCTAAAGAATGAACTGTTTGCAAGTATGTGGCAGAGTCTCAAGTCTCCCTGTCAATTGAAGTTAGCTTGGTACAGAGTGCAAGCAAAGCCTATGAGGCTTGGCTTTCCACCAGTGACTGTTGTGGGCACAGCTCCCACCACACAGCAGTCAATTTTCACCTAGAGATCTGGGAACTGCACGCTCAGACTTCCTTGTGGCAGTGTTTTTATGCTGTCCTCTATATACCTTCTCTTGTCTGTAAAGAAAGCCTTTGGTCATCTGGCATTTTCTCTGGGTTAATGCTCAGTGGAAATAAGTTCCTCTGCCCTTTGCAGGTCTTTGTGACAGAGTTGCCTTCTCTCAGGCCTCCAAAGGGAAAAGATGCTTTATTGAAAAAGAGACAGTTGAATGAGATGATTGTAAAGATCTTAAGATGCTCCAGTCCTACACTGCAGTATCATCATGAATCTTTCCAGTCATACCTTTAACATTTGTGGGATTGGATTGCAGCTTCAAATCACACTGCAGGGAATAAGAACTTAGACTGATTTGAATGATGGGATGTGTCTTAGTTATTGAAGAATGCACAGAACTCCACAGTTAGGATTTATTTGTCAGTCCTGTGACCTGCTGGTCTTACACCTCATAATTAAGTGTAGGTATAAACGTTTTCTGTTCTTTGAACTTCAGGCCCTGATAATATTTGTCTATTCCCATAAAAAAGGTTTTCCTCTATGTTTGTCCTCCATTCCATTGTATTTACAGCATGCAGTTTCCTAGCAGGACTTTGTAAAGCTTTTATTTTCCCACACATTTCTCAGCATTGCAGGAGTTCGTGCACACAAAAATATGTGTATAGGCCATGAACCATTGTCAATGCCATGCTCCTTAGGTGTGTATTTTACAGCACCACTATGTGAGCTCTGTTGATGGAGTACAGGTGGGCATGTTCATGAGAAGTGCATGTGGTAAGGGACACACCCGACAGATTTGTGACAGTCCATGTTAACAGCAGGGTTTTTCCAACACAGCTGGTTATTTTGAGAGCCTTTCATTTTTGAATGCTCAATAGGAAAAGATGTGGAGGCTTGGAGTATAGTTAGCACCCAGAATCATCAACCACGTTTGGAAGTATAAGGAGCTGCAGTGATGCTTGATTTCCAGTACCAGACCCTTGGTAGTGAACGTTAACAGCCTACCTACCTGAGCATTATTGGTGCTGCAAAGAAATGGGATGATGGACTGTAATGTAGACAAGACTTATAAAGATGAGGAGTTCCTATGTATCTGTGTGTACTGCTCCAACTCTTTCAACTCTGAAGAAAAACCTTTTCTTTCTCTCCCAAGGTATCATTTTCAGGCTGCCATCAAGCTGGAGCAGCCCAGCCCGTGGGGCTTTGGCCCTCCCTCCTGTGCTCAACTACACCATCAGAATGAGCAGCAGAATCACACAGACCACCAACAGGATCAGGGAGCGCATCTGGACTGTGGGACCACACAACTCCACCTCTCAGAGCCAGATCTACAGCCGGGCATTTATCTATATCCAGGACAGCATTGAAAGAGCCATTATTCAGCTGCAGACTGGCAAGAAACTAGAGGAAATAGCTGTTCAAGTCCAGGCCATGCCTTACCCCTGCTACAATAAGGATATGTAAGTTTGTGGGGTTTCCATCTTCCTATAAAATTTGCTGTCCTTCTTTTACTATGAAAGGTAGAAATGAGACTGGGTTTGGCAGGACTTGGGTTAAATATGAGCCTTGGCTTGTTCTGCAGGTGTTTACATGCAGACAGTGCAGCAGAACTTAGAAAATATATTTATTGGGAAAAAAAGCCCCTAGGTTTATGAGCTTTGTTCCTACAGATTGCTATCCAGCTGTTCCATTTGTTATTCATTCCACTGATTCCAGCTAATGTTCAGTGTATAGTGAATAGTTCTCCATACAGGTGCCTCTCTCACAGATGCTTTAAGAAGGATAAGAGTGTGAAATTGTACCATTCATTGCCACTGTAATGAGGGAGGACAGAAAAGCTTTTGATGAGCCAAGTTGTTAGGATTAACAGCCTGTTATACTGAGCAGTGCAGCATGAACTGTGTATGGACCAAAATAAGTTTTGAATGGTAAAGCAGATCAAAAAGTTTTGGATCATCTTCCTTTCCACTCATCTTGAGCCAGATCTGAAGCTAATATAAACCATGTCTCTGCCAACTGCAACAGAGAGAAGCCAATCTCTCACAGCTGAGCACTGGTCCCTCTGGCAAGGAAATTTTGGTTGGTGTTGGAAAGCTGGCATCACGGTACATCCTCAGATTTATTACCCTGACCACAGCTGGTGGCCAAGCAGAGTGGAAAACACGTAGGAAAATGATTTCATGTCCATCAGCAGGCTCTGAAGTATGTTCAGCAAGTAATATTAGTAGACTGGGCAGTCAATCCACAATACAAGGGTCTTTCTTAGACCAAGAGTACAGAATGGACAGAGGAGCTTTGCATACCTACTGCATGAACTAAAAAGATGATCTGGGAGCTACAACAGACCTATTAAAATCTCGTGTCAGCCTGTCACTTGACAGCTGGAAACTCATCATCTCTCCTTAACATAAACGCATGCAAAGTGCCTGCAAGTATGCAAGCAGGTGAGCATTCAAACCAGGTGTCAGCTTCCAGCAAATGTGTGGATTATTGCTGTGAGATAGTTTTGCACAATGATTAACTGGCTGCTGGAGGCACTTAACTTCAGTTATCTTTTCTTTTGCTTTTTCTTGGGCTGCTGAGAAAACAGCTTGCCTTTGAGTGTCCCTCCCCACCCTGGGTTCAGGGGGTCATGAGATGCTCAATTATTAAAATACCTAAAGGCTTCCTATTTCCATCCAGTAGAAGTCATCAGAAAATGGCTGTTTATTGATTGTTATCACATAGTTAAAGTCCTGTAGAGAAATGGAGTGAACTTATATACCACCTCACTGAAGGTATAGGAATTCTGGATTTTTAATGGCCTAGAGATCATGCACAAAGTGATAAGGAAAAACAACTGAACAAAAAGCAAACAAAACAAAACAAAAAACCCTTTCCCAACAACAACAACAGAAGAACCAAAAGAACAAACTAAGAAAGAAGAGACTGAAATGCCTTTACATCGTTCTATATAAATATTATGACCTTGTTTGCTCAGAAGGAAGAAAAATTTCTTGTAAGTGCTGAGTTTTGGAAACTTTTTGACATTATGAGTTAAAAATGTAATTAAAAAACCAATCATATTGGTTTCCTACTGCTGTCGTACATTAAACTTTTCCTAAGAATTATGCTGTTGGGTTTTTTTAAGCCAGCTTTAGAAAGAAGGGAGGAAAGCATGAACCCTGTAGATACAATGAAGTGAATCTCCTACAATAGAAACTTGCTTTCCATCACAAAAGGAGAAGTTTACTTTTGGCCACTGTTGCACCTTCTCTCAGCACACAACTGGCATGGGAGGAAGGTTGTAAGGAGGAGAAACCAAGAATTGTGAAGCCTGTGTGGTAGGTATGGCTCTATAAAAACCATCCTCTGGAGTAATAGGAGAGACACTCCAAGGAGAAGCATTGATATCCAACCTCAGGCACAGGGAAATACAGCCTGATAACAAAATCAGGCTATTGTACCTATTGACAGGATGGCTGACTGCTGTGGTGTTTCCAAGTGGGATGCACCCACCAGAGTCAGGAGATGCCACTGCTGGTTTCTGCTCTTGCCAGTGGTGCTGCTAAGCAAAACTGTTTCAGAACCAGGCTGGAAAAATTCCTATGTTTTCTAATATATATATATATGTTTTTAACAGTGCAGGAATCTCCTAATAGAATCTTCAGTGCAACAGCAAAGCAGTCTTTTTTTGTAATTATTAATTATACTCCCTGAAAAAAGTCATTCTGTATAAAGCGTTAATCCTTACAACGTTTTACATTCAACTAAAGCCTGCATTTGCCTTTTACAGGTTCTTAACCAGCGTGACCTACTCTCTTCCATTTGCTCTGATGGCTGCCTGGGTGCTGTTTATAGCTGATTTTGTTAAAACTCTTGTTCAGGAGAAAGATCTGAGGCTTTATGAGGTATGCTGAAACTTTCTGGGGCGTGCAAAATTATAAACAAGTTTTTCTTATTAGTGGGTAGTTGGTCTCATGTGCAACATTAAATGGAGCAAAACAAACATTAAGGAAAATAATATTGCAAATACCTATTGTTTGACCTGCAGCTTTCGAGTTGTGACATTGTAGGCAATTTCAAAACTATAGAAATGCAGGGCATTTGCCCTTCAAGTGGTGAGAATATTGCTTTGCTGTTCTGAACACTGGAAAAATGGGGACCTTACAAAATTACAAGTTTTTTGAAGATTTAAAGCCCCCTGAAAATTGACTTTGAGTCATACCTACTGGGAACAAAGACATGAAGAGTGACTTACTTCCTATCCTTGAAGTTATTATAATTAACATTTCAGAAGGTGCTACATATTACATCAGCTCCTCTGAAATGAAGTTCTTCGTTCAGGTTGCCTATTGGAAAAGAAATCACATTGAGGCATAGGGAATTTATTAAATTAGCTCACGTTTTCAGTGTGAACACAGTCAATGGAGATGAACAGCAGAGAACTTTCTGGGAGGCTAAGCTTCAGCAAGCAATAAAGCTCAGGCAGATTTGTTTGTTCTCTGGTACCATGGAAACAAACACTGAATCACCAAAGAAGTATATCCAAGAAAGAGCACCCTATGAACTGCAATGAGATTGACAATAAGAGTGTCCAGTTGACAGTCCCTGAATATTGTTTTGGGAACACACTTTCATTGCCTCTGTGATTCAAGGTGTCAGTAATCTTTCAGCTGTGTAATCTGCAACAAGACACCAGCATCTCTCATTTCTTTTGGATTTGGCAAGGCAAATTCTTGTGACTTGATCATCAGCTAATATAAATTAATATTACTTCCATATAAATATGCAAGTGTATCTATTATTTGTTGCTGGGGGGATGTGTGTGAAGTGGTTCACCAGCTGAACCAAATGGTACATTTGGCTTCAGCTGTATCTAAGAGTATTTACACTCAGGACACTGAGTTGAACAGCGTTATCTAAGACAAATAAAGTAGCCAAGATAGCCAAGATGCTTTAGAAAAGTAGCAAATATAAATCCAGCATCTGCTTTGAAACTTGTGGGTTGTGTCACATGATGCTTGCAGATCCTGCCTATGCTGTTCCTTTCCAACGGGCTCCTTGCAAACCAAGAGCATTCCAGAAATGTGAATGCATGGTTTCTCTCTGGTTATCAGCCTGGCAGTATGCTGAAGTATGAGAGAGCATATTTTGTTTCCAGACACTGAAAAAAAGAAAAACGAAAGATCTCTTAGTAAACAGTTATAATTTGTAATCCCTGTTATTTTGCTTTCTCTCTGTAGTACATGAAGATGATGGGTGTCAATGCAAGCAGCCATTTCATTGCCTGGTTCATAGAGTGTGCCATCTTCCTTCTAATCACAGTCACCTTCCTCATCATTGTCCTAAAAGTGGGTGACATCCTTCCCAAAACAAATACAGCGCTCTTGTTCCTGTACCTTATGGACTACAGCTTGTCCATCATAGCCATGAGCTATTTCATCAGTGTTTTCTTCAACAACACCAACATCGCAGCATTGGTGGGCAGTCTTGTGTACATCCTCACTTTCTTCCCCTTCATTGTATTGCTTGTCATTGAAAATCACTTGAGCTTCTCTGTGAAGAGCCTACTGGTAAGTTCTGCTTTTCAATAACAAGGGTTATGTGTGTGGAAGCAAACGTTCACCTTCAACACACTTCAGCTCTTCTTAAGGCTTGTGTCACCAATGTACATGTTTGTAGCCATTCTAAATTCCACCAGTGGGTGCTGACACATGCTACATCACATAATGAGGGAGCTGGCTGTAGCCTGGTGGGGGAAGACCTGTATCCCTCCACTGAAAGCAAAACTTGTGGTATTTTAGTGAGTAAGCACTTCCAGCTGAATCAAAGTAGTGTGAGCTATGCATTTTACCCTCCCAAATTGCAAAGCAAAAAATAGCTTACCTTCAACTACAATGAGGAGGAAGGCTAGACAGTAAGGAGTTGAGGTCGCAGGACTATGAGGGAAGGCTGGCTCTGTTCATTCCTTGGTTGTGTGTGCCTCAAATTTGTAGCCATGGAAAAAGAGAGAAAGCTTTGTTACTTGCCAAGAGTGGAAGTAGGTAGGTATTAAGTACCAGAAATCACATTTGTTTTCAAGTTCACCAAATCTGGGAAAGGATACCTTTTAAGTCAAGTAGTAAATTCATTAGCCATGTCAGATAATTTTATATCACTACTTTGTTTCAAAAGCCTAAATTAAACCCCTGGATGAGGGATAAAGTTGGATACTGGGAGTGGAAGCAAAAAGAAGAAAGACTCTAAGGGGATATTACAGCCCATCATCAGAAGTTCTGCCCATCAGAAGCTTGGTCCACTGCTCTTTGTGTCTGCTGGAAAAGATCTTACTCATTTTTCCACCTGGTGTACCAAGCCGGGGAGGTATCTGATGGGTTGTCTGACTTAAAATCTCTTTGAGACTAATTAACAAATCCTTTGTTTTCAATTTTGTTTATTCCACAGAGCCTGTTGTCTCCAACTGCATTCAGTTATGCAAGTCAGTACATTGCTCGCTATGAGGCACAGGGCATAGGTATGTTTATTGAAAACAAAAATACACTTTGAGCTTCCATGGTTGTGACATTCCATTAACTAACGGACTCTCTTGTATTTCTAAATTCCTTTCTGCAGGTCTGCAGTGGGACAACATGTACAAATCTCCAATGATTGGAGACAACACATCCTTTGGCTGGATGTGCTGGCTCATTCTGGTTGACTCTTTCATTTACTTCATCCTGGGATGGTATATAAGAAATGTATTCCCAGGTAAGGATATGAAGCACTGAGGCTGATGATGTATTGTTTCCTGTGGAAAACAGTGAATACAGCACTGACTGATTCCACGATCCAGGCACTCAGGCACATACAGGACACCTCTGTTCCTAGAGCAAAGGAGCCATATCTTGGAGGATGTGTTGAGAGTATTAATGATGCTGGGTTAAGGAAGGACTAGAGTTCCTTCTGCTCATCATGTGGGTAGGTGGAACCTCTGAAGAAGCTGAAGCCAAGGACACAGGAGAATATGTTTGCTGTCTGGTTGGTGAAAATGAGAACAGAGCATCTTAGCCAGCATTTGTCAGTTGAGTGATTTTGTGTTGCGTTACTTATATCATCCGATTGCAAAAAGTAATTCCTGCCTTGGGCAAGAGACAGTACATTTGTCTTTTGCTTTTCTTCCCCACCTAATGAAGCAGTCCACTGGCACACAGAAATCTACCCAGTGGAAAATGTAAAGTATTCCAGCCCTCCGGCTATGAAGTTACTCAGAATAACAAATGAGCAAATGCTTTCTATTTTGCCAATTAGGGGAAAATCCCTTCCAAGTACCAGTAGTACATGAAGCACATCAAGAAAGGAGAGATCTCCATGGAGTTCATTTTTGTTATTTTGAGTGCAGTCCAGTAGTGGTGCTTCCTGCAGAAACAGATACTTGAATGAGCTTCCTCTTCTTCTTGCAGGAAGATATGGCATGGCTGCTCCCTGGTATTTCCCACTGCTTCCATCTTACTGGCTTGAATACAACTGGCTCCCCTTCTGGAGTGAGAAACAAAGAGGCTTCATCTTCACCAAGCTTGTGTTAAGGAAAGAAGCCAGCCCCAGCAATCGGATATGTATGTGAATACTGACATATGTTTTAAGTAAACAAAGCCAAATTTGAGAAGGGCACCATGCTCAGAAAGCACAATTTTATGTTAATCCTTACTTAGTAGCACAGGAAAAACTGAAAATTATTACTTATCCAAATGGAGATTTGGCTTTTAAATTGTTTTGTTTTGTTTTGTTTTTCTTCCAATTCGATGTGGAAATCTAGTACTGACATTCACATGCATAGTAGTTGAGAGGATACCTTGGGTTCATATACCTCACCCTACAGTGCTCTGTGTAGAAATACATTTTTGTTTGTGAAAGGAAACAAAAGGAATGTCTGCTGCTCTGTCCATTTCTTTAAATATTTAGCCTATAAAATTTTATGAGATCACACATACAAACTTTCCAGTTCTACCTAACAGAAAGTAACTCAATAGCTTTGCTGTATTTCCTCTAATTTTATATACTTGTTTAGTGTAGATTAAGTTAGGTGCTCTGAAACATCTGAATGTAAGACCTTTTCACAAGAGATTAATGCTTCTTGTCAGAAATTATAAGAAGTTGCAGAAGTGAAAAGGAGAAATGCAGGAGAGCTCAAAATGTCTCAGATCCTATGAAATGTTCTCTGCATTCCTCATCGAAAGCCACCTGCTTCTGCTATATTATATGCTATCAAAAGCCTTGCTTATCTCTGAGTTGGAAAAAAGTAACTGTCATCTAACCCTTCCCTTTGGTTTTGAAGGTGCCCCCCCGCCTCACCTGGAGCCAGAACCCACTGATCTCACCTTGGGAGTCTCCCTCCATGGCATAACAAAAGTTTATGGATCCAAAGCTGCAGTGGACAACTTAAGCCTCAACTTCTATGAAGGGAATATAACTTCCCTGCTGGGACACAATGGAGCTGGGAAAACTACAACCATGTACATGTCCTTTAAAGTTGGGATTGTTTTGTACCGTTGGGCTCAGCTGGGTGGATATGAGAGCAAGTGGGGCTTCTCAGCATTGGGAAGCTGAATGAAATGCTTTATTAGGACAGATCTCTCTTGTAGTTTTATCTTACTCTTAGATGACCTCAGCAGTCCCTTCATCTACTAGAATTGAAGGTCCCTTTCTGCTTAGGAATATGCTTTTTAGTCTGGTAGAATCCCTGTAGTACGCAGCACAGCAATTGTTCCAGCATTTTGTTCCACAAGGCTTTGGTGCCTGGGGCTGGGTTGCTCTGAAAGCTGTGGGTAGCTTGTGCCAAATTTGAAGTGATATTAGCGAGAAAGCCTAATAAAGGTATATTTCAGCTGTACAGGGTCGTGTGTTGGCTGGGCTAGAATTGCAGTAGGTTAATGGTGTAGCCTTCCAGCCCTTCCAGCGTTGCCATTTATAAATTATAGTTTAAGGTGTTGGATAACATCACTAAAAGAAACCTGTGGAACTTGATTTCTCTACTGATATATACGTATGCGTCACTCTGAAAGCAACATTAAGCTGATAAATAGAAGCCCCAGAAGAGCCAAAAACAGTAAGACAAGACAGATGTGTGCTTCATCTCAGCTTATTATAAATTCATCTCACGTCCTCATAGTAAGTGTAGGCAAAGGTGATGTACAGAAAAATATAATAGCTTCTTGAAACTTAGTGCAGGCTTCAAATCCTGAGTAAGGTCACAAGGTACTTCTCCTCTCCTTTTTAATGAGAGTTAAAAGTCCCAGGAGAGAGTGCAACTCAGGGATAGTGAAGGGCAGTCTGAGATGCATCTTCTCCCTTTACTCCCTTGCAGGACAGCTCTAAAACCAGCCTATATTGTGCAAGTAGTCATTCCACGTAGAAGGTGTTTGACTCAGGTCTGCTAGGTACTACTTGGAAGGTAATTATTAGCTTGAACTAGATGAAATTGCTGCCCTCGCTGAGGTGCCTTGTCAGGATATCCTCCTCCATTCCTTCTTAATAATGGCAGTGAAATCAGGTTTCTCTGCTGCGATGTGGTTAGTATGATGAAGATGTGGTTTTCAATCTCTGAAGTGGTTTGCAATATGAGACTGTCTGGATACTGCAGACAAACCCCAAAGAATGAAGAGTAACTGCATTATGTGAATTCCCAGTGATTAAATTGGAAGTGAAGGGTATTCATGAGTATTGATGTAAGGAACATGCAGTGGTCTGACTTAGGGAGGGCGAGACCAAAGAAGATAAAAGTATATGTGAAAAGTAGCCAGAGCTCAGTGTGTGAGCTTGGTACTTGCCCTCACAATCCCACAGGTAGGGGGAAGGAGGATGTTCTTTGATGTTAATTGGGCACTGCTCCACCAAAGCATGGAGAGACTGCAGAAGAAACTGTGTTCAGTGATTTCTGGCTGCAAGGAGTGTGCTAGTGATGGAAGGAAGCTTGGCAAGTAATGATAACTACAGGAGAATGGAGAAAAAATACCTATGGCTTTCTCTTTTTTTTTTGTTTTTAACTTCCTTTTCTACTTATTTTTCCCTTTCAGATCTATTTTGACTGGGCTGTTCCCTACATCATCAGGCACCATCGTTGTCTATGGCAAAGACATCAAGACTGATCAGGAAGTTATCAGGAAGAACATGGGTATCTGTATGCAGCACAACGTGCTCTTCAACTACCTCACCACGAAGGAGCACCTGCTGCTCTATGGGTACATCAAAGTCCCTCACTGGAGTAAAGAGGAGCTCTACCAAGAAGTTAAAAGGTATAAAAACAGCAGGGTGGGAAAAGAGAGAGAGGGCTGTGAAAATTATGTGTAGTAGCACCATTGCAAAGCTCAGTGAATGGTTTTGAGCACTGTTGCAAACCCAGCCTAGAGTTCAAATAAATGCCTTCATCTGACTGGAGGAGTACACTGAGTGTTGAAATCTGTGGCTGTAAAAAAACAACATTTCTTCTCCAGGAGTTTACAAGCTTCTGTGGCAATTCTTTGGAGATGAGTTTGTAAGCCTAAGGGTCTGATCCTTGCTTCTTTACAGTTTTCCCCAAAAAGAGATTTGATCAACCAGTCAGAAGATGATGCCAGCTTTACTGGTTCTGTGGAGAAGTGAAACAGCCAAAACATCCCAGGGAATTTGGATTTTGGTGATCTGTGTTGATGAGGTTGAGCCTTTAACCTTAACTTGTCAGATGGAACTTTGAAAAAATCCTAAAGAAAATTTTTTTTCAAATTAAAATCTCAGTGCCTGAGCTACATATAGGATGAATCATCTCTGCACTGTGACCATTCAGTAGAGCAGTCTGTACTTGAGCAGTTCTTCATTTGCAGTTACGTTTTTTGGATATTTTCAAATATTCTGCTCTTAAAAGTTGCCTGAAGTGCAACATTTGAAGACTGTCTTTTCTTTGTTTTGAAGGACTTTGAAGGAGACTGGACTCTACAGCCATCGTCATAAGCTGGCTGGTTCCCTGTCTGGTGGGATGAAGAGAAAGCTGTCTATAGCTATTGCTCTGCTGGGTGGATCAAGAGTAGTGATCCTGGATGAACCAACAACAGGGGTGGATCCGTGCTCTCGTAGGAGTATTTGGGAAATTATCTCCAAGAATAAAAAAGGTACTGTGATGAGATGAGATGCTGCCCAGAGGTAGAGATGCTTTGTGTCCTGAAATTATGGTGCCCCATCCCTAGAGGTGTTCAAGGCCAGATTGGATGGGGCCCTGGGCAGCCTGGTCTAGTATTAAATGGGGAGGTTGGTGGCCCTGCAGGTGGCAGGGAGGTTAGAGATTCATGATCCTTGAGGTCCCTTCCAACCCTGGCCATTCTGTGATATGGAGTGGTTTTGAGCTGCATCATTCAATGCAGCTTTCACCTGTCTCATGTAATCCTGTATGTTTGTTCTGTGTGGGTTGACATCAGCTTCTTCTTTTCCAGGCAGAACCATCATTCTCTCTACACATCACTTAGATGAAGCAGAAGTACTGAGTGACCGAATTGCCTTTCTAGAGCACGGAGGGCTCAAATGCTGTGGGTCTCCATTCTACCTCAAGGAAACTTTTGGTGATGGCTATCACCTAACGCTCACAAAAAAGAAGGTTCGTGTCAGAGTTGGTCCTAAATCTTCAGCCTCATCTTAAGTTAAATGTATGCTTTTATGATAGGCATCTTGGGTGGGAAAATAAATCAGTTGGAAGCAAGGAAGGAAGGAAGGAAGGGAGTCATAGTATCCAACAGAAATGAAGTCCATTGCAAAAGGTTCATATCAGTCTTAAATTTCTGCCATGAAATAGTTATTCCAATCTAATTTCTATGTTGAAAGTAGGATGTGTTGGGTAGCCCTGCTACCCAAAGTCATGCAGCTCTAACAGATAAGGCAGAGGTATGAATCTGAGCCTTATGTGACCCAGGTGAAGTCCTCTTCATCCTCTCTTCCCTGCTGGACCCTAGCTTGTTTTCATGTCCATTGTGCACATCTATTGGGAGGAGCTGAGAATGCTAGCAGTCCCAAAGTGGTTGTGTTTGATGCAGAGAGGCACCAAAGAGCTACGGAGGATCTGCATGTGGGCATACTGCTTCTCAGGAAGAGATATTAACAGAGCATCTTCCTTGAAGCAGAGGGACACTCCCAAGCCAGTCCCCAGGGGGGCCATCAGACCTGCTTCTGGGGCTCTCAGAAACAGGAAATTCATATCTCTGCTCTGGTGGAGAACTGGGCATCCTTGATAGTTAAAGGCAAGGCTGGATGCAGTGTGAGTTCTGGAGTTCAGAGTATCAGATTGGAAGAGATCCATTGGTAGTTCATCTCCTTTTGGTTTTAAAAATGAAATGCTGCATGTCTGTGCTGAGATCACCCACCAACAGGACATGATCCGAGCTGAATCCTGCAGCAGGAATTTTGACATCAGCACCTCCTGGTTGAACACTGAGTGTTTTCCTTCTTTTTCAGAATATGATAGAGGAGTGTGACACTGCTGCAGTGACCTCCCTGATTCAGTCCCACCTCCCAGAGGCTTATCTCAAGGAGGATATTGGTGGAGAGCTCGTGTATGTGCTTCCTCCCTTCAAGTCCACAGTCTCAGGGGCTTACCAGGCACTTCTCAGAGCCCTTGATACCAGCTTGAGTGATCTCCACCTTGGTTGCTACGGGATATCAAACACAACTGTGGAAGAGGTAGGTGGTGGCAGGTTTTGGATGGAGGAGTAACAGGGAAGGGAAGAAATGGTTTTGTTACTCACTGTGCTATAGTTATGAACGTGGGAAGGTGTAGATGTATGCATAAGTCTATACATCTAGCAGTGCACGAAGCACACCACTGTCTCACCTCTCAGCATTTCACTTAGAGAATGAGATGTTGGAGTATTGAGTATTTTTGACCAATTTTCCTGTGTGTTTTCTTGTTGTGTAGGTATTTCTCAATCTGACAAAAGAGCTAGGGAAGGACCCACAAGAAGATGCAGGACTATCCCAGCGAGAGCCTGGAGCCACTGGCCAAAATGGTGGTGACGAAATGTCTGTGAGCACGGATACTTTCACAGAAAGAGATGGTACTAAATTACCTCCAGGTTTTAATCCAGATTTGTCAGAGATACAAACAGTGACAGATGGACTCTTTCTTGTTTAAAAACACATTTCACCCAACCAGGAACACAAAGCCACTGATTCCCTAGAAGCTCAGTGCTCAACAGTTGTCTTAGATCCACTGGTTTGGAATGTCTGAATCACAGAACAAATTACAGAGGGGTCTTGTTTGCATCCGCCTCCCCTTAAATTGATTCCAGTTTTAATCTAATCAAATACAGTGTGTGGGTGAAGTAGCAAATGTATGGCTCTGAAAGCAACTGCTATAATTGATGCAGAGAATTATTTCTATGCAATTAGTAGAATTTGAGAGAAACTTCATGGGAAAAGCAGCAAAGCTCTGAGCTCCATCCGCCCCACTGCTTTTTGTTCTGTCCCAGCAACTGCAGTATGAGCCACACAGCAAAAAGGGACACATCCCATCAAAAGGGATGAATTTACCTTCAGAAGAGAATCAACAGGCCAGGTTGGATGGGGCCCTGGGCAGCCTGGTCTAGCATTAAATGAGGAGGTTGGTGGCCCTGCATGTGGCAGAAGGGTTGGAGATTCATGATCCTTGAGGTCCCTTCCAACCCTGGCCATTCTGTGATTCTGTATGTTGAGGGTTTGAGAGCTGCCCAAGGAGGCATGGTCCAGAAAACATCCTCATCATCCCTTCTGACAAACTAGAGATGTTTTTTGCTTATGGATATATCATTTATAGTTAAGAAAGTGGCTAAGGGACAACACAGAAGTATTTTTGTACTCACTTCTCAAAGCTGACCTGCATTGTAAATGGGCAAATCCATAAGAGGTAACACAGATGCTTAGAAAAGTGTTTTATGATACCCCTAACGAGAGCACTGAAGATGATTTGCCTTGTGTTGTATTATACAGGTTAATATTTCATAAAGAAGAATAGGTTGCATAGGGTTCAGCTCTGCTTTTATCATGCTGCAACCTTGTCCATGCAAGTGATTGATTAGTTTATGTGCCTTGTTTTCTTGTTCCCTAATGAATTCCCTTATTGATTTGCCTTGGGTCATGCTTTCTAAATGATGAGAATTTTCAGTTTGCAAACACAAAAGTTGCAGCTGAGTAGGGAGGGTGCAGATTACTTCTTGTATCTGGAAGTCTCTTTTTGTCTTGCAAGATGTCAGAATGTGTATGCTACATGTATGCATTTGAAATCAAGCAAAAAACTGGTGTTATGTGTCATGACTTGAGCCAGAACCTGAATTCTGTCCAAATGGGGTGTGGTCCAGCCTACTAGTTTTGATTTTTCCATCTGTAAAGGAGAACAGGCAGCCAAAGTAACTCCCAAGGTCCAGTGAGCATCAGTTCTCTGCATTTCATGAATACTGATCCATGGCAAAATGTGTTCTTTTGTACCCAGATCAGCTCCTGATCAGATCTAAGAGCCTGCAGGGTTTACCATTGCTGCTTAAGAAGGCATCAGCTTTATTCATTAAGAGATTCCACCATACCCGGCGCGATGTCCGAGGCTTCATTGCTCAGGTCATCCTCCCAGTCCTCTTTGTGATGGCAGCAATGGGACTTGGAACACTGAGGACTAAGGAGACCGAATACCCAGAGCTGATTCTTTCCCCCTCTCTGTATGGCACATCAGACCAGGCAGACTTCTTTGGGTGAGTGGTGTTGCTTTTCAGCCTTCAACCCATAAAGGCCCAGTTTTCTTATTCTCAAGATTGTTTCTCAAAAGGTGTTATGCAGACAACACAGTGATAAAATCCTGTTCCTAGGAGTATCTCTTGGGGAGATGGCTTGGCTCACACCAGCAATCAGAAAGCTTTAGAAAAACAATCTTTAAGCTGGAATTAACTGTGAAATATGTCAGAAATACTTTTTGTTGTGTTCGCCATTGGAGCCATCTGTCCCTGTGACATCCATCCTGCCTCAAAAGGATTTTTAAAAAGTATTTAATCTTCCCCAGTCTGAAATGGAGGTGCAGCATTAGTTGGGTCCAACATTACAACTATAGGATCAAGTGAACTGTCTGATTACCCTCCTCTCTGTCAGTATAGGAAGATATGCTGTTCTGTCCAGGACTCACTGGTCCAAGGCATGCAGTGATCTAAAGGGCATGATTAACACATCACCACTTACTGATTTAATTGTGCTTAAATATCTGGTTACCAAAATGAATACAATTTGTATCATTCTGGTTTCATGAGGTAAACTGCATTTCTCCAGTGGTTCTTTAGAAAGCAATATAAAATCCATCTCTAATGTTGTTACAAATCACACGTCTGCTGTCAGATGTTCTTTCCTGGGACTGCTCATGCCTTTCTGCTTCAGTACTGCTGGATGGGTGGATGAGCCACGTGTCTCCAAGTCCTCTTTTCCTAAGGCTCCCTGCTTCTCCTGGTAGATCATTGCAGGGGAGACAAATACATTTTCCTGAATGACCTAAAGCGAATGGACTTCACTGGTGTCAGAGCTGATTGAGATGAGATGAGAAGTCATGTCTGGAAATGTCTGTGGATGCTTTTTCCATGAAAACAGAGTTTTGATTGTTCAGAAGTTTCTCTGTATGTTGCTTAGACCTGGAGGCAGTGAGTCACTGGGGTAGGAGAGCAACTATAAGCAATGAACAGCTCTTTTAAACTATGTATCTGCCCTCATGTGCTGCATGTACTGAAGTAGTTTGCAGAGCTAGCACCAGGACGTTTGTTTAGCATCCTAAATAAATCCCATTTCTTTCAGACAGCTTTCCTTTGCTCAGTGGTAATGGAAGTACCTTGAATATTTTCCTTTTTTTGTTTGTTTGTTTGTTAAATTGTAGGAATTTCAATGAAACAACAAATGCTTTAGTTGCTTCGATGCTTTCTTTCCCTGGGACAGATAACACATGCATGAATGAAAGCAATTCGTAAGTACTTCTTGTCTTTTTTCCCCCCATTTAAATCCTGAGTCTGCAAGAGAATTGATGTAACTCCATTAGCCACCAGACCCTCTTTCCATCCTTGATTGTTTGCAAAATTTTCATACGTCGATGCCAGAGGAAAAAAAGTTTCTTGCCTCTTTCCAGACTGACTTACAGATTCTTTAAGCACATTACAGATATCTAAGTGGCCTTTGGCAGGCTGCTGCAAGCTTGCTCTGCTCATAACTGCATTCTCAACATAGCTGTTATTCATTAATCAAAGCTGTGCCATGAGGACTGGACTGTTTGGGGCTCTAAGGATGAATTTCAATGGTAATACAAAGGGCAGCTTTTGTACTCAAGTGTGCCTCACATCAGCACACAAATGTTTATGTTGAGTATTTGTTGTGGCTGCTGTCAGGATGGCCCATTGCAGCACTCTCTAGGTGTATCCCCTATTTCTGTATTGGAAGATGATTTTGGCTTTGGCCAACTGCTGCGAGAATGAAGCAGTGTCTGGATTCTTTCTAATCAGCTGGATGAATCCAGGCAAGGGGAACTGTGCTGAGAGTTCTCTACCAAGTCAGTAGGAGGACAGGTATTTCCAGAGCAGGCAAAAGGAGGTCTCCTTTTCTGCTGAAGCTTACTGCCATCTTAGCATTTGCACGTCTGGCTATAGAGACCCTCAGAGGAGAATGTGTTCATTTTCAGGCAGTGTTTAAATGAAGACATGCTTGGCCCATGGATCGCCACTGGAAACCCCTCAACAAAGTATTCTGCCTGCAACTGCACTGATGGCATCCAGGTAACTGGAATAAACCCAAAAGAGAGGGAGTTTGGTGGGAAACTATCAGGTTGTGAATGGGGATCTCTGGCAACTTGGTATTCAAAATCCCACCTGTCTCTGGTCTTGTTGATTTTGTACTTTGGATAATGACTGAGTGCACCAGCTTGGGGACAGGAAAGGAAACAGTAACCTCAGAAGATCTGCATGCTCACGTATCTGCCTTGCTCATTTCTGTGGGAAGAGGTTTAATGGTGTTTTTGAATGTTGTATGATTGTCCCATTTAGCAGAGGTGAGTGTATATTCAAGAGGAAAATTGCATTTTATACAGCACTGTCATTATATGAAAGCACAGCTATCATTGCTGTTTGCTCTTCAGAATTTAACTGTATGCAAAGTCTAGATCCATCTGCTTTTGCACCATTCCACATTGTGAATAGTGGTGATTACCAATATTAGTTATTTGCCTTGCAGTAGTACATACAGGACCAGATATGGGTCCTTCTGAGCTCCATGTCTTTAGATGCATATGGGGGAAAGGCAAATTCTGACCAAAAAAAGTTAGAACTTAATGTGTCCAGTTAAGGTTGAACTCTCCTCCCCACAGTGCTGTTCACCTGTCTTCAGCTTTATTCCAGAAAGAAACCAAACTCCAAGCACAGCATGATACTATTTGTAAGATAAAGCATGTACTTAGTCAGAAGTTCCTAGACATTTCTTAAAGCACAGCCACTGTATGCACTTTACTGGGCATGTAGTTAATTTCACATCGTTAGAAGTACTGGCATCAATTCTCTGTTAAGTCAGGGCAATGTTCAAAGCTGATTCTCACCTCTAGCAGGCACAGGCAGGTGTTCCTCAGCATGAAGGCAGCTGTTTTGTGTATTCTGATGTAGAGTTTTGAACAGATACACAATAGGAGAGGCCAGGATATTTGTTATGGACGAGCTGAAGGAAGCAGCCAGCATGCTGTCCAGTGTAGGACGTTTTAACCTTATGAAACAGTCAATGCAATTTTGACCCTCAGTGTGTTAAATTATATATTCGGGACTAATCCAAGGTTTCTCTGAAGCTCTGAAAAATATTCCCAATGACTGACAGTAAAGTTAAAATGTAAAGCGTAGCTGCTGTGAAATGCAAGATGAGAGTTTGAGGCCACCGTGGAGTTCTGTGCTCCGTGAGCTGTTTTGCCTTCTGCCGTTGTCAGTGCAGTCGCTCTGCAGCTCTGCTGAAAAGGATCAGAGTTAATTCAGGAAAAATCTTCCTACCTAGCATGAAGCACATTTCAAGGTCTCGCTAATGTCAGTAAATCTGAAGTGTAGACTCAAGCAAAGGTTGTTTTGAAGCACCTCTCTAAATGCACTGAGAACAGCACACAGGGTTGGATGCTGTGTGTCTTGGCACTGTGGTTTCTGTAAGTACTGGTTCCCAGGACCAGAATGTCACTGTTGTCAGCTCTCAGCCCTGTCCTGCTGTGTGAGGTTTACGGTTAAAATACAATCACTGATGTCTTTGTTCCCTTGTCTCCTCTCAGACGTGCCCACAGAAGAACTATACCCCCCCTCACAGGAGGACCTTCTCTACACGAATGCTTTATAACGTTACGGGGCACAACGTGGAGACCTACATTCTGGCAACCACCAAAGACTTCCTGCAGAAACGGTATGGCACGCATCTCCAGCTGCACTACGAGCATCCTCCTAGACTTATATCCCTGTACTTAAGGAGAGGATGGTGTAGTCAAGGCTTAGCAGGACCCCTCTTCTGATAGCTTCTGTGAATCTAGTGGAAGGAGGTAAAATGCACTACAAGCATAGAGTTAAAGATAAAAGTTTTGTGTAAGTGTTCTGCTTGATCATAGCAGAGAGCACCTGGGGATGACATGTCAGTCACCCGATGAGCTGGTGGCTGGGGCCGCAGATGAGCTGTTGTCTGGCTCAGAAATGTTTCTGAAGAGGAAAATCTGACACAGCCTGTCACTAAGTAAAAACCCTGGGGAGAGATTCTCCTTTAGGTTTAATTGTCTGGGGAGCCTTGGTGTGCATTTCACTTAAGCAAATGCCCGTGTTGGATGGAAGTTAGAATTCAAGTGTTTTCTTGCACCATGGGCCTGTTAGAACTATTATTGTGTCTGCAGCCTGCAGTGCAGCTGCACAGCATGTTGTAGGGCAAAAATAGCCTGCCACTAAGGTTGTCAAGGAATATGTTCACCTGTCCATTGATTTAACCTGAGCTGCTCATCTTCTGGAAAAGAAGCAATCATCTTGTTTCAGTGTGGTAAGCAAGCATCTCCAAAATACTTCTCAAATTGAGGCAGTTTTGTAATAACACTGCTGAGTTTGTTTCCCTTTTTTCCCCAGATATGGGCTCCTGTAGCAGTGTTGGCTTGACATATCTCACACCATGTAGTGGGATAAGTTCTCTTTCAAGTCAGTCTACAATTAATTGAGACTATGGTGACATGCAGTGCATGTATGCCTCAGGAGAGCCCATGCTAACATACACCAGCCATGCTGTTACACTTCTGGGTGAGCGTAACGGTGCATTTCCCTCTGGATTTTTCATTCAGGTATGGTGGCTGGAGTTTTGGGATGCCTTTGACAAGAGATCTCCAGTTTGATATCAAGCCAGTACCCCCCAGCAGAACACTGACTAAGGTAACTCACTTCTACTGGAGTGATGTTGGGTTTGGGGATATTTTAGAAGAGAGAGTGAAAACATCTGAAATCTTGCAGCTTGGCATGGGAGAGGTGACTTTCAGTTCATTTTCTCTCCTCTTCCCATTCTTTTTTATTGGTCTGACTTCTCTTGCTGATAGGAAACAATTTTTCTGCTGTCATAATTTTATTACCCAGATGTGAAAAGATTGGTTCGTGGCACCTTTATCTCATGGGAGAACGCATGTAGCTTTGCTAGGGCTGGCTTGTACATTCTGATTTACCCATTTCTCTGTTTCTGCTCAGTGAAAATGTTGTAACATATCAGCGTTAAAGGCGCCAAGGCTGAAATCTGAGGTAGGAGAGAATTGCAGATGAGTTCCTGTTGTTTCCATGCTAAACTTAGGAAAGTGTTCCTGCAAAAGCAGTGCTGTTCTCAGAGGTGTTCCCAGTCAAAGGGAATTACAGGATTCATTGCTTATTGTTTTGCTGATGCTCAGAGCTCATGTAATCAATTTTCAAATGTTTTCACCCCTTCAGTTCTAGATCTGAATGCTCTTACTATTTGCTAATCATGTGTCAGATTAAAAACCTGAAACTTTGGTAGCATTGGAAGCAAGGCTGACTTCCAACTCTCTCTTTCTTTAGCAGTACTTGCTTTGCTAGGGCAAGGAGAATAAAATCACTGAGCGTGTAGAACTTGGGGATATATAAAGGTGGGAGCTGTGGGCTGTATTTAAGCCTGTAATCTTAATAGCCTAAGCCCTTTGTGCTTTGGAAGTAACTTACACCTCTAATCTGGGTGCTGCAAGTTGTTCCTAAAGAAGGTAAATCCCCACAGAGTGCATCTTCTCTGGTCTGATTTCTGCCCTCAGTCCTTGGAGTTTATCATGGTTTTGGCAAAAAGTGATCATGAGTATAGGAAGGGCTGTTGCTGAATGAGAAGGGCTATATTTTCTGCCCTAAAACAATCTCTTCCCACTTGCTTTCAAGGGAAGCTGATGTTTGACAGAAAAGAAACCACATATCTGTAGCTTTATGTCACATATCCAGTTAGTTCTTTTCTTCTCTCTCAGAAGGCAAATGAAGCTGATGGGATTGCTCATGTTTTAAATGAAATGTGCTTTTATACTCATTTGGTACCTGATGTGGCTTAATCACTGGACTTTAGCTCATAGAGCCTATGTCTTGAGATAACAGCTACGGGCTGATTCATTTGTGCAAGAAGAACAAACCAAAATGTTATCAGTAACAATTTATCTCCCAATTTGTTTCAATTTCTTCATTGTGTGCAGGTGTGGTATAATCCCGAAGGTTATCACAGCCTTCCAGCCTATCTGAACAGCTTGAACAACTTCATTCTTCGAGCTAATCTGCCAAAAAATGAGAGTTCCAGATATGGTAGGTGTCCCTTCACATGAACAGGTAATTTCTCCCCACTGGGGGACTTCAGTGAGGTCATTTTTTAAAATTCCAAGTTATGCAGATTCCTTTAAAAACAGCATTGAGAAACATGAATAAATCACTTATTTCATTTGTCTTTGTCAAAGACCCTGGGGAGCTGGAGAGGGAAGACCTCTGCTCCTATGTGAAGCACTTGCTTCATCCAAAAAATGTCAACAGTTGCTATTTGATTTATTGCTTCTCGTTATGGTACTTTTGATTGGTGCCTTTTATTTATGCATGGAAAGGCTACCTCAGATTGTTTGCAGAATGGCCCCCTGACTGATTTTCTGTGACAAATGCTGCCCTTTCAGCCACACTGTGGCCATGCCAAGCCCCCTCACCTCAGGTGTTCCAGGTGGCAGTGAGATAGCTGAGTGTCTCTTTGCTCATAAGACTATTACTCCCCAGTGATGTGTCTGAATTTAACTACAATAGAAAAGGCATCTGCTGAAGCTTTGAGTGCTATGCCACGAATTCAGGATGCAGCAGAATGCTGATTACAAGTCAAAGCAGTGCATCTCTCTCCCCACCTCCACGTATTGATGCACTGCAGCTCCTCTCACAACAAGCAAAAGCAGCACCTTGGCTCCACAACCATCCTATCAATAAAGGCTCGTGCCTTTGAGACTCACAGGGTGCCCTCGAGGTCACAAGGTTCAAGCTTTTCTGTATGCAGTGGCAAAGCTGCAGTCCCTGCCAGGGTGCGGAGAGAGGAGCTTCCAGCAGCAGGAGCATCCCAAAGCAGCTGAATTATTAAGCAGTGATGCTCACCCCATCTCTGAATTCCCAGTGCATACGGTAGTGGGAGCAAAGGCTTATGTGAACAGTCAGAAAGTTTTCACAGGGAAAGTTTGGTACCAGCAAAACAGCAATTTTCAGTGGGAAAGAATAGCAGCAGTTTTTATTCCATCTGTCCTGCTGTGTATGCTTGTTGGTTTTGTTTTTTTTTTTTTTCTGAATGAAATGCTTAGTAGTAAACGACCAGGCAGATAATTCTCCACTTCCCACTAATGATCCAATTCATAGAATGGGGGAAATAAAATGAATGGATGAGGATAGCTCCCCTGGGGTAGTGTAAATCCAGTTTGAAATACAATTGAACAGACGGTCTGCGTGGTACGTCCCTGGCAGCTAAATCTATTTGTTGTTGTGACAAATAAATGACAGTTTAAGAAGCACTGAAAAGGCCAGATAAAAGCGTGTTGTCATTTCAGCAGTTTGAAAGAGGTGCCAGTCCTGCTTTAGTACATTTGACTTAGCATATCTTTAAAAAAAAAAAAATACATAAAGAGCTTTTTACCCTGTCACTAAGCAAGTCATAATAGCTTTTGACTTTCGTATATTGTGCTTTCTCTTCTCTCAATCCCAACCAACAAAAAAGAGTAAGCATTGAAATGGAAATTCTGACTTCTAGCCTAAGCTTCAGCACAGGAAAATGGCTTTATAGTGAAGCATTAGCAGATTAGACAGACGGTATCTTTCTTTCTCCCTCTTTTAGAGAAGGAAAACATTTCCTGGCTGTTTGTGGGGCTCTATCAGCAGCCTCAGATTTTAATTCCATTTTGCTCACTGATGACAAGGCTGAGGATTTTTTCCTCCATGGAATGTATTTCCTAGGGAATCTTCCCTTTCAAATCTATTTGCTTGGTTTGGCACCTGGTTGGCTAAAACTGCAGTCTGCTCTTTGCTGGCCCTTATGTCAGAGCGTTCTGTCTTAGGGAATACAATCCCAAATACTCCTTCCTTGTGTAGCTGCCAAAAGTCAGACACCAAGGGAGTTTAAATTTCAGAGTTGCTGTGTCCTAGCAAATCTTTTTGGATTTTATAGCAGCTTGAGGTTCCCCAGCACCCGCTGAGAACTGAGGAATTTATTTAGGTGCCTAAATCCAGATGGAGAACCTCATTTTTAGGCGTAAAATTTATCTTAAACCCTTTCCCAAGTGTGACCAAGGCTCTGGACTTCACTGGAGGTTGGAACTGTCCCAGCAGAGCCTCCCAGCTCCCTCCCTGTGATAGATTTTATAGGCACTGAACAAAGCAATTTCCACTAGTTCCTTTGGACAAACTGTTTTTCTTTGTTTCAGCTGCATAAGACAAAATTGTTGTCCTCACTGTAGAAGTATTCTTGCTGAAGTGAATGATACAGCCCTTAAAGTTGGGCAGGTGCAGAAGCAAGGCCTAGGGTTTGAATTTCATAGCTGCTGAGCATCAAAGTGGAGTCATAGGAAAATGGGGCCTCTCAAAATCCTGCCCCAGGTCACACTGCAGTGATAGAGGAAAAAGAGATTTGGTCTGTGTTTCTTCTCTATTCAGTCTTCTGTATTACTGTCAACCTGAAGAACTGAGGAAAGAAACTTTAAGCTAGCTGCTTTTAAAATATATTTTCTTTTTGGTTTTGTAGGTATTTTGTTATCAGCTCACCCATATCCTGGAGGACAGAGTCAAGAACAAGTAATGTAAGAAGATTCATTTGGCTGATGCCTGAATTGTTTAGCTTCAAAAGAAGCAAGCCTGCTTTCTGGAAACCACTAAGCAGCCTAAATTACTAAATATCTCCCTCCAAATGTGAAAACTGCTCTCATCTTGCCTTCCTTGCCTTTATGTATGAATTGCACTCCGTATGCCACAGGATGTTTCTTTTTAGGGTGTTTCTGTGGGATCCTTCATAAATCTGGGGCTCACAATCCTGCTTGATGTTACAGCAGTCATATGACTGAATGCTGTAAGCCTTTTTTTTCCTAGTCATAATAACCACCAACAAAGGACACTGGAACAGAACCAGGTCCTTTATGTTTCTAAGCTCTAACCAGCTCAACAAGGGAAGCCTACCGCTTCGACTCACCATATATATCTCTACTTTCTCCCCAGGCTCAACAGCTTACTTGATATCATAGTTTCAATGTCTGTTCTGGTTGGCTACTCTATCACAACGGCAAGCTTTGTGCTCTACGTAGTAAAAGAACATCAAACTAAAGCCAAGCAACTGCAGCATATTTCAGGCATTGGGATGACAAGCTACTGGGTGACTAACTTCGTTTATGATCTGGTAAATAATTCAAACTCTTAAATGCATCCAGAGTGGCATTCGACAGCAGGAGGGGGAAAAAGTTCTTTATTTAAAGTTGGTTGACTAGGCTTATTAATATTATCACTACCAAGAGTGTTGTGTAGTAATTGTTCTCACAGGCACTGAAGACGATTAAATGTGAACCGCAACACTGGATTTTGCTAAGCAAAGGCATTCCTTCTCTCTTGAGCGTAGGCAAAACGCTCAGCACATTTATATGAGAGCAGCACAGAACAGGCCAGGGCTTGATTTTGACTTTATCATGCAAGCAGCAAGCAGCTTTTTTGTTAGCTTGCAGGACTGCATGAGTTGTCAGGTGGGTTTTATACATCTGGGGTAAAGATTTGGGGCTTGAAACTGGAGCCATTTTGGAAACCCTGTGGGGAATGACATTAGCAGACATCTCACAGCTGACAGTCCTCTACTTGGCAAAATCCATTGCTTAGTTGAATGCTCTCTATCAATTGTAAATGTTTTTGAGCCAGGAAAGATACTCACGTAGCTCTATGCCCTCCAGGTCACGAGCAGGTTGCTTTCTAGAGTGCTGCACTGTGCTGTATAGATTTACTACCACATTCCTAGAGATAGCTGAGCTCCTCTGCGCTGTACTGCATCACGCTGCGTAGACATGCCCTTCTACTCTCTGAATTTTAGTCTCCTTGTGGCAAAGAGGGTTAATAGCACTGCTGGAAAGCATCACACACACAGCATCTGTAGACTAAAGTGCTTTGTGTCTTAAGAATTATCTTTAGTGCATGATGTCAAACGCTCATGAAGGTGCAAGTGCAGACTATCTCTGCTCATGGGCTTTGGCTCTGCCATCTGTGCTGTGATGCTGACCAGCTCTACATATCCTGTGAGTTTCCATCAGTGCAGTTCTGCTAGTGCTAAAATCCTAGCAAAAGCATCGATTTCTGAAAATAGGAATTCTGCAAGTGTATTTGAGTGGCCAGCCCCTCTTTGATGCAGTCAGAGCTAAGGGCTGAAATCCCCTGGGGTCTGTCAGCCATAGCCATAGTCTGGCTTGGCACAGCCTCCCTATGTCATGACAAGGGGGCTGGAGAATGGGGCAGGTGTGTTTCTGCTTCCCTGATCCAAACCCTTGCTCCAGCACTGCATATTTGTAAATCAGCCTGTGGAAGAATCCCCGGAGTCCTTGCCACAATCAGTATTCAGCGGGCTGAAACTAATCCAGCACTCTCAGCAACTTGATATTTCTCAGTGAATCCCCACCAGGAAATTCTGTTAAATCCCAAAGCTGAGGAAAAGAGGAACCTCTTGAGGCAGATGCATGGTAGGTCTATAGTTTGACTCAACACTGGGGAGACTGGATTTATAGGGAGCAATGAACTGGCCTCTCTGCAAGGCTAACAGAAAACCCAGAGGGTATTTTTCCATTTATGTCTGTTTTTCCTCTTTTTTTTTCTCTCTTTTTTTTTTTCTTTTTTTTTTTCTTCTTTTTTTAACATTCAGCCTATTCAAATTGGGTTCAAATGCAAGACTTCCTAAATAAGACTGAGACACTTACCTGTATTTAGTTTCCTTTAGCTACACCAGTGGGACCTAATTCAGACTTTGCTGCTTCTGTATCATTCTAGAAAAATTCTTAAGAATTATTGTCCTAATAACATATTTGTAATATCTTTCTACAGGTACTTTTTATGATCCCTATTGGACTCTCGATAGGAGTTATTTCATCCTTCCAGATACCAGCATTCTGCAACAACAATAACTTACTGGCAGTATTTCTTCTGTTGCTACTCTTTGGGTAAGTGTGAAGCAATTTAAATATCAGAGTGAGGAACTGGATATTGCAGGCTGCTGTGATTTGGGATCCAACAGAGGAATAAGTGGGCTTTCTTCTTCAGTGTCAACTTAGCAAGAGGTGACTCCTTCCAGGAACAGAGTGAGCTAAGCTGTTGTCATGCCTGCAAGATCTTTGTGAGGATATAAGACAGTCAAGCTCACAGTGACAGCTCAGGCTGTAAGCAAATATTTACTGAACCATTGTGAACTTTTGAGATGCAACAAGGGGAAAACAAACAAACCAAAAAAACCCCAGGAAAATTCTGGAAAACTTAGCAAAATTATTTCCCTGGCTTTAAGTCCTCCAGGCCCAGTCTATCAGTTTTCAGTCAGGGCTACATATCATGAACTTCTCCCAGTTCTAACAGATATCAAGCTATTTATCCTCCATTAAGTTCCTGCACTATAGGAATCTAGTCATTTGCCAAGACAGAACTGTTAAGTTGTCTGAGGACTTTAGTTATTGGTTTTCAATTGCTCTTTGAGTTACTGTTCAATTGTTCTTTATGCTGTTGGGGATTTATAGATATGCAACATTTTCATGGATGTACTTGTTGGCTGGAGTCTTCAAGGAGACAGGAATGGCCTTCATCGTTTATGTCTGTGTCAACTTGTTCTTTGGCATCAATACCATCATTACACACTCCGTTGTGTTTCTGCTCTCCCAGGAAAAGGCTACAGACCAGGTAGGAACCCCAGTGATACCAAGCCTTGAGTGAAACAACAGGAGGCTTCTTGTTGAGTTTGGTGGCTTTGATCAGGTCCTTAGCAGCTTTCTGGTTTCTGGCCATCCAAGCAGAGGACAGGAGTTGCAGACTACAGGGGCTTCTCTATTGACAGGGTGTGAGTTGCATACAAATCCTGTTTGTTTGTGTAGATCTGCTCCCCCAGCAAAGATGAACATGGTGGTGACAGAGGGAAGAATATAACAAGAGAGGTTAAAAACTGCCATTGCTGAGAAAGGCAGGAAGGTGTGGATGTCTGATACAAGGTTGATGGGAACTTAAAACTATTGCTCAATTCTTGCAGTACAAACTTGAGAGTGACAACTAGATTTCATTGCGTTGAGTGTGAAGTGTGCTGTGTTAAGCCCAGCAGTGGCTGTCTGTCATCTCGATCTGTAATGCAATCACCTTCTCCCTGCAAGGATAAAAAATGACTCTGAGACAGTGATGATTCCCAAATGTCAAGCCTTGTCTTAAATAGAGATATCCCTGGGAATCAGTGGAAGAAAATGCAAAGTGTACACCTTACATTCAGTTGTTGTTGTTTTTTAAATAAAGGGCGCTTGCTTTGTAAAACAAGAGCTGTGCTTGATTTTGCTCTGTAGCTAAGCAGCCCCCCTAGATTTTAGGAATGTAAGAATATGATCTGCATTTATCCCTCTGTGCCCCAGAGGCAGGGAGTCACTCTGTCCCCATACAAATGTACAGCCTTTCCACTTTGCTGTGTGCGCTAATCCTTTCTTCTGCTAGAGATGTACCAAATCTCTGCATACGAGAGCACATAGCTGGGAGACTCTGCACTCAGCTGCTTTGCCACGAATTAACTGGAAAAGCCTTTATGTCTATGAGAGCCAGATCTTGTGTTTTATGGGGATGTTTGTCTGAGAGAAATGGTTAGGACAGCGCTCCAGAGGAGCGGGGCTGGAGAAGCAGGCAGGACTCTGCAGAGGGTTGGTGCAGTGATGCTAATTTTGGGCAGCTGCAGAACTCAGCTCTGGCTCATGAGTGGGTTTGTGGTTGCTGCATGCACTAAGCTCCTGCAACGGGAACTGGATGCTACTTACTATGGGTGATCACAGCCTCCGAGTTGCCTCTTGACTTTTCTGACCTTGTGTCTGCGAAATGAGCTGTCTCTAGAGCTCTTTGCTCTCAATTTATCTCTGCTCTGAGACACAAGCAAATCCCAATGTAATTGTTACACTTCAGTTCCATAGTGAAACCTATGAATTTATTCCATGAATAAAAACAGTGACTCTGCTCTTGTGGTGTTGCTTTTTTTTTTTTTTCCCAGGGCTTGCGTGATCTAGCTGAAAACTTAAGGCACGCCTTCCTTCTGTTCCCACAATTCTGCTTTGGCTATGGCTTGATTGAGCTGTCGCAGGATCAGGCACTGCTGGGCTTCTTGAAAGCCTACGGAGTGGACTACCCTGACAAAACCTTTGAACTGGACAAGACCACATCCAAGCTGCTTGCCATGTTTATCCAGGGCACCGTGTTTTTTGCCATTCGTCTGACAGTTCACGATGGGATGATTCAGAAGGTCTGGAACAGCACACTGGAGTAAGTAACATCTGGAGTATCTTGATGAGAACGGACCGAGCCATCACTCAGTGTGTTCTTTCTGGGTTTCTCACACACCATCACTGTCCACTATGAAACCCATGTATTTCCCAGACATTCTGCAAACACAAAAGAATTTTCCCCTGGCAGCAATGCTGGCACCTATCAGTAATTAGGATATCTGCTAATTATGTGTGTGTTACCAGAGTCTCTTGCTAGTCCTTGCTGGCTCAGGCTGTTGTCCCTGTTTCAGGCCTCTGGCTTTGGTGGACTGGTGTTCAGCTGGCTGATGAGAGGAGTCAGCTCATTGAGAGCCTCTTCTTTTGTCCATTGAGAAGCAAGAAGCTGTCCTTGGCTCTGTGAGTGTAATCACAAGGCAGAGCCTGCTCCAGCTCAGAATGTCTGCTGAATAAGAGGAAAAATTAGGCATAAAGGGAACACTGGGTTTTCTTGAATTCCCTGAAAAGATTAAATAGGAAAAGAGAATAGAAACTGCAAGCCTGTGTATGTTTGCATGCTTTGGGATCTCCTCAGTACTCCATACATACAGACCTACTGCTGTCTGTGACTGCTAAATGATAAGGCCATAATAACCTTATTTCCTCCCCTCAGGTTCCTGTTTGACAGAGTGCACGGCAAAGCCCCACTTCTGCTGTCTGTGACTGAAGAAGATGGGGATGTTCAGGCAGAGAGGATCCGAGTAGAGTCTGGCAAAGCTGACTTTGATGTGGTACTGCTTCAGAACCTCACAAAGATCTACCACCTTCCTCACAAACGCATTGTGGCTGTGAAAAACATCAGCCTGGGGATTCCTGCTGGAGAGGTAAGCAAATTGGTTAAAGCTATGAGGAGGGACACTGGGACAGGTCCAGAGTCCCACCAGCATCTTCTCCCCACTTCTTGCCACTGTCCCAGCATGGCTGGAATGGTTTGTTCTGCTCAGGCTTCTTCCTTCTTTCACCTTGCACTTTCTATATATATTAATTCTTGGGGCTGCAGTAGCAAATAAAGGCTGCTGATGGATTTTGATCACTCACATAGGAGAAAAGAAAAGATGGGAGCACATGGAGCATCTCTGAGACCCAGAGGAAAGTTTGTAAGGCCTCTGGAGACCAGATCCTGTCTCAGGCTGTGAAACTGAATAGTGGGAAGGCTTAGAAGTACTCCTGAGTATCACTGAGCCACAGGGTATATGAAAGGACTTACAGAGCTGGGCAGGAGGACAGCAGCCACATGTGAGCAGTGTGGTCACTGAACTTTTTGGCAGAGGATTTCTCCAAACCACAACTGGGACAGTGAGGCTTCTGACTCCTGGCAAAAATCATCCCAACACTGATGGGGCTTGGGGTGCCATTCCCCATCTGCCACCAGAAGCCATGGCCCTGTGCACAGATACTGTTCCTGCACAGACCTGAGGTGGGTGATGAACCTTGGATGGATGCCCTGCCTTTGGTTGGATCCCAGCACACAAGGATTTTCAAAGCAGCTGATCTGTGTTAATGATATCAAAATAATAGTAATTATCAGCACAGCGGTGATTGCTTATGCGACACGCAGTTGTGTATCTCCAGCCTTAGCAATAAAATATGGATTTTAGCATGAGATACTGAACTGCACTACAGGGAGCCGGTTCTTAATCTTATTAATGTGGTGCATTAGTGAGATTATTTGACGAAAATCTTGTGTCACATTAAGGTTTTACCAATGACAGAACAAACCTCACTCACCTCATTCCTATGAATAGCTCTGTTCCAGTCAATGGGAGGTTTGCACAAATGAGATGAGTGGGATTTGGCCTGTCAGGCGAGCTCACTATGAAAATGCACCTTACAGTAAAAGAAATGACTCTATTAGAGACACGTCCTTGATTCTTCAGCATATTAAACAAACGGTCCTAATATACGCTGCAGTATATTGTACCATAAACAACCTCCATTATAATGTTTGTATGCTCCAAGTATCTCTGCCTCTTCTGCAATTTATCTTGCTCAAGAGGCCAGAGGAAAGAAGTGACAAGCTGCACTGAGCACTCATCTCGGTGCAGTATTTTTGCATTATAAATACAGCATGGTTGCATTTCTACCTTTCTTTCTTACAACCCAGTGCTTTGGCTTGCTTGGTGTGAATGGAGCTGGGAAGACAACCATCTTTAAGATGCTGACAGGAGATATCGGAGCATCCAGCGGAAGGTTGCGGGTCCAGGATCATTCTGGGTATGCAAGATGTGATTTCAGGGGAAGGCACATAAGCTAATCAGCCTGGGAATGGTCTATAAGGCTGGATGGCAAAGAAAAGGAAATATGAAAGTTTGAAACAAAGCCAAACATTCAAAACAGCTAAAATAAGGGAATGTAACCCTTTGAAGATGGCACAGTTTCTGCATTAGGATTTGCATGTGCTGTCATATCTTTGCTGTTCTCAGTGGTGTTTCTTCCACTTCATTCACTACAGATGGGATCAGAAACAAATCCACAGATCTCCCTCTTCTGGAGATGAGAAGGACTCATCTCCAAGCATTCTTTAACAGGAGTAGGCTTGGTGGCAGCTACGCTGTCTGAAAGGCTGATGGAAATTGGAGACTTACATACTAGACAATGTGGCTCACAGATACAGTTCTTTGCAGAGCTGAGGACCTAAACATTGAAGATCTGCAAATTCTTAGCATTTTCCTTCTAGGCTTGGGGAGCGGGTGGGAAGCAGGAGATCCCAGAGTGCATTGGCAATTTGGTGTGTTTAAAATGACTTGTTTAATTCCTTACAAAGGTCCTTGAATGACATCACTGAGGCACACTGGTCTCTCTTTGGCTACTGTCCTCAAGAAGATGCCTTAGATGACTTGCTGACGGTGGAAGAGCACATGTATTACTATGCTAGACTCCATGGCATCCCAGAGAGAGAAATCAAAGGAGTAAGTAACACCAATATTTGACTTTGAGCATTTTCTAGTTATCAGGAGCCTTTACGTTCATTTAATTAGTCTGTCAATGTATATCTATACTGGTAATTAATTCCTGGACTCTGTTGTGAAATTAGTACTCTTCCACCCTAGATCGTGCTTCAGCTTCTCCACAGGCTCAATCTGACGGCCTACAAAGACAGAGTCACCTCTATGTGCAGTTATGGCACCAACAGAAAACTGTCAACTGCTCTGGCTCTCATTGGGAATCCATCTATTCTGCTGCTGGTGAGAAATGGGGGCCTTGATGGGTGAAAGCTGAACAGATCTCCAGGCTGGAGGGACACTTGAACAGTCTTTCTAGTCACAGGCTGCAGGACACTCCCCAGATGTTCATACTGAATAAAGTAGCCTGACATCATGTACATCAAAGGAAAGTTTAGATTCCAGCATACAGATTGGATTTTCCAGCAGGGAGAGGGAGGTGATTGTCCCCCTCTTCTCAGCTCTTGTGAGGCTCCATCTGCAGCACTGAGTCCAGGCCTGGGGCTCCCAGCACAGGAAGGACGTGGAGCTCTTGGAGCAGGTTCAGATGAGGGCACTAAGATGATCAGAGGGCTGGAGCACCTCTCCTATGGGGAAAGGTTGAAGGAACTGGGCTTGTTTAGCTTGGAGAAGAGAAGGCTCCGGGGAGACCTCACTGTGGCCTTCCAATATTTGAAGAGAGCGTATAAACAGGAGGGGGAACCGCTGTTTACGAGGATGGATAGCGATAAGGCAAGGGGGAATCATTTTAAACTGAGACAGGGGAGGTTTAGGTTGGATATTAGAAAGAAGTTTTTCACCCAGAGGGTGGTGAGGCACTGGAACAGGTTGCCCAAGGAGGCTGTGGATACCCCATCCCTGGAGGCATTCAAGGCCAGGCTGGATGTGGCTGTGGGCAGCCTGGTCTGCTGGTTGGTGACCTGCACATAGCAGGGGGTTGAAGCTAGATGAACATTATGCTCCTTTTCAACCCAGGCCGTTCTATGATTCTATGATACATTTTCCCTAAGATCATAAAGAGCAGTGAGTACCATTTTCTGTGTTAGAATCTTTCAGAGGTCAAAAGTAGATCTTCTGTTTGCCAGTTAAATTTTCCTTGTTCCCAGCTCTTTCTTGATTTGGCGCATTGGCTATCCTGCATAGTCTTGCAAAAAGAATTAGCAGCCAAGGCTGCAAGTAAATAGGAGACCAAAGGAGCAATTTTCAGGATTAGAACATAAAACTTTTTTTTTCTAGATCTGGCTTCCATATTTTTCTTTCCTTTTGAACTTTTAAGTTCTTCCATAAGATACACTGTTGCTAAAGTATACTTTTTTCTGAGTTTTTCCACTTGCTGTATTTTAAACATGGAGAACTCTGGGGTGCAGACACACCCAAGGGTTGGAACGCCATCCAGAGGGACAGGTTGAGCAGTGGGCCAAGATGAAGCTCATGAGGTTCAACAAATCAAAAAACAACAAGGTTTTGTACCTGAGTCATGGCAAGAGAAGGCATCTGAGGAGCGTCCTGTCAGTGTCTAAAGGGGGGTACAGGAAAGAAGAGGACAGACTCTTTAGCAGAGTCTGCATTTGATAGGAAAAGGGGAAATGGTTTCAAACTTAAAGAGGGGAAATTTAGATTGGATATAAGGAAAAAGTCTTTTACAATGAGGGTGGTGAGGCACTGGCACAGGTTGCCCAGAGAGATGGTGGATGCTCCATCTCTGGAGACAACTAAGGTCAGGCTGGATGGGGCTCTGAGCACATGATGGAGCTGTAAGTCTCCCTGTTCACTGCAGGGAGGCTGGACTAGATGACCTTTAAAGGTCCCTTCTTACTCTAAGAATTCTATGATTCTGTTCAATCTTTCTGAATATGTTCAGTGCTCTAAGAGCAGTGTTAAATAGGATGCTTAGTGAACATAAGCCTTCCTTGCTCTTGTACCTTGCCCAGCTGTTCTGTGGCCAGAAGTGACCACACCAGCTCTTTGATAACTTCTGTGACATGCAAAATCTGAATAAAAAGAAAAGGTGGGGAATTTTTCTCTGTACTGACTGCTGCATGAACCCAAGCTGTTTGTTTCTGCCTCATGTAGTACAATACCCGTAACAATAACAATCTGGCAATCGGAAACCAGCTAACAATTTTATCAGCAATGCACAAAGTAGAAGGCAATATATTGTCTTTCATCTCTGGCTCATTTTCTCTGTAAATGGTGAAATGGAACACTTGCTTTGTTAGGATATGAGAGAAGCAGAATGCAGGTTCACCTGGGAATCAAATGCTTGTTGGTTGCTTCTTGTTTGAGACTCTACTTTTGGTGTTTGTGGAAATGTAAAGCACCAGGATATAAAATGCACAGTAGGGTTGATCTTAGGTGGTGTAATCAGAGCCACTCGGTTCTTATAAGGAATCCAGTGGAAGCTGGGAGTTTCCATGGAGTCTTGTCTTTCCCAAAAGGATGAACCGAGCTCCGGCATGGATCCAAATGCTAAACGCCACCTTTGGAAAATCATCAGTGAGGAAGTGCAGAACAAATGCTCCGTGATACTCACATCTCACAGGTAGGGCTGGTTTGGCTTCCTCTCCAATTTCAGGGTCTTCAAGAGATATGAAGAGGTCCATCCTTCAAATCCTTGCTGCTCCTGAGGGAATTTCAGGGCACTGAGCTGTGACAGCTATGTGGGCTTAGGGCTGGATGGGGGTGCCCACGTAGACCCACTATGCCCTAAGGAAGATGCAGTATTGTTCTATGATCACCAAAATAATTGCTTTATGTATGCCTCCTCGATGACTCATTAGAGTTTCTCTGATTTTTCAGCATGGAAGAATGTGAAGCCCTCTGTACCAGGCTGGCAATTATGGTGAATGGGAGTTTTCAGTGCATTGGCTCTTTGCAGCATATCAAGAGCAGGTCTGTAAAATGTTCTCACTCCGCTTCTACTGATTGGAATTTAGAGTTACTAACACAGCTTTGAGGGCTCAGGACACGAGACCTTTGTTAACAGGGCATCAAAACAAGGAGTTTTCTGTTTTATGTTCTTTACTGTACCACTGAAATTCATTTAACTAATATGCTTTTTGCTCTCTCACAGCCTTTTTTCCAAGAGATGTGTTTTCCAAAGTAATTCACTGTTGAAAATGTAAAGTGCGTGTTAGGGTTGAGCTTTGATTTTATTATTTATCACAGCAGCCCAGTTCCTTATTGAGTTTCACTCCAGGTTAATAACCCTGACCCCATTCAAGCTGCACTCTGCCTGCATTAGATTTCCCTGAAGAGGCTGTGCAGCACTCTCAAGGGATTTTCTTTATCTGTTTCTCTTTCTTACTGTGTTAATTGTGATTTTCCTTATCTCTTAGGTTTGGAAGAGGATTCACTGTGAAGATGCACTTAAATAGCAGCACAGTTGGCACAGAGACACTGACAGAGTTCATGAAGTCACACTTCCCAAATACGTGCCTGAAGGTAAGCAGGACAATTGCATTCAAGGGAGTCCTTCACATTAACCAGGAGTATCTTGCAAGATAGACATCTTGTAACTTGCTGTACATATAGATCCATGCTCTTAAAATGTAAGAAATTCATACACATGCACTTGTTACAGCTATCAGCAGCATTGCCCGAGGGTTGGATTATCCGTGATGTCTTAAATAACCTCAGCCAAACAGCTGCAGTGATCTTGTAAGGCAGCTGTTTGGTGACCCTCTGCACCTCATGGTTCCAATGAAGCCTGGACTGTATGCAGATACACTTTATAGTAGTAATTAGATGGTCACTGATCAACTGCAAACAGCAATATTTTCACCTTTAGGAACCAGAGGACAGAAGGCATCCTCTGTCTTTTAATTCTCCCCTGGTTTAGTTCCTTTGTGCTTCCATTTTCAGCTGGACAGCCAGTGAGGCAGCTTGCTCTTCACAGGCAGCCTCCTAACTCTACCCCATCATTGTTGTTCCTGCAGGATCGTCATTTCAACATGGTGGAGTACCATGTTCCAGTCTCAGCAGGAGGGGTAGCAAATATATTTGATCTCCTGGAAGCCAGCAAAGAAGCCTTCAAAATCAGGCACTTCTCAGTGAGTCAGACGACGCTAGAGGAGGTAAGGAATTAAAGAAGTGTGGCCATCCATTTCGAACTGTTAACAGGGGAGTGAGCAGACTGATGGTTGCACATAATGGACTGCTGCACACAATAGACTACATTTTAAAGGGATTTCCATCCATATTCCTCCTGGGGATACTTTATCAGTACTATTGCCTCCAGATACTCACGCTGGCGCTGGGAAAACTCACAGAATGCTGCCTGTCGCATAAAGGATCTGTTCTTCCTTGTCAGTGCTGATTTCAGCAGTCTCAAGGATGAAGATGAAGGGCAGGATTATGAATCATCCTGGAGCTCAATGCTGGGCATCCTGGTGACAGATTTTTCCTGACAATCATGGAAATTTGCTTGATTTTGTTCTTTCCTGTACTGTATTTGGATTGTAAGTTCATGGAGCATTACTCCAAACTTAGCTTTCATGGCATATTCCTTTCATGTTCCCCCAGAACAACATTCCCACTGGCATCTAAACCTTGTAGAAAATGCCTCAGATGAAGGCATTCATAAGGATTTATCCAGAAGAGAGCAGTCTGTTGAGCATCGGTATCTGATCTGTTAGGTCTGCCCCAGAGACAGGAGGAAAAATACAAGCCCTGTAATCCTATGAATTGTTGAGCAGATCCGGGGGAGAAGGGAAGGAGATCCTCAATATTGTTTAATGAGGGGCAGTAGTTGTGAGAGAAATTAGCTGACAAACAGCAGGAAGCTCCAAGTCATGTTTGGTGAGAGGACGGCATGGATTTTGCGTATGCAAATGTGACTGTAGTGTTTCAGTAAGAATATTTTATGTATTCATTAGATACTGTTCAAACAGACTGTTATGTGTGATTATATATACCTATCTATATAATATGCAGCTGCGCCTGCATAGATGTCAATTATATATAGACAGATAGGTTTATAAAGTAATAATATAGATGTATTACACTGTAATCAAAATGAACTACCACACGGGGGTATTATCTCACTAGTATTTTGAAACATGAGCTGCAGGACAATTAGGTTTTGCAGGAACATCTACCTTTGCATTCCCAGGTGTCCATTCAGCAGTACAGGAGTATGCATCCATTTATTTACATTAAGCCATAAGAAGCACAACATTTGCAGTTCACAAATGCAGTGCGAATCCATTCCTGAGCGCTCTCTCCAGGCTCAGCCAAACGTACAGCCATTCCTCTGTTCTTATTCATTCACATTATCAGTTCTTTACACTGTCACATACTGAATGTTATCCTTTAAACTTTCAGGTTTTCATCGACTTTGCTAAAGATCAAGCAGATCCTGATGGCACGGATGCTGGTCCTGATGTGACATCGGACAGCTCTGACACCTGTAGCCAAGCTAGCACCATAAGCTCCATCTATTGAAAAGGCACTACCAGAAGGCATCACAGGAGCTGGGGAAAAAACCTCCTGACCCCTCTCAGGGTTCTTCCAGTTTCTTCCTGTTTTCTATGACTGTAGGATGGTAGGCATAAAAAGCCACGACTACTTAACGTACTTTTTTGATATGCACTTCTTTTGTTACTAGGAATGCAGTAGGCACTTAAGGCTGGCATTTGGTTACAAATCAGATTGATCTTTTCACAGGTTGTCTTTTTTTTTTCTCCCCAATTCTAGTTACATGATGAATTTTATACCTGTGAGGATTTAGTTGTCATCACCTGCTCCTGCTGGCCACGGCCATTTGCTTACAGGAGAAATGGCTGTGATGGAGCAGAGGAGCTGCTGGCAGTGCAGGGTGTTTGATAAAGCAGCAGCCCTGTGGCTGCCCTCTGAAAGCCCACGCTCTCCTTTTTGCTCTACAACAGACTTTCTGTTGCTCACTTTAGACAGGCTCCCCACCTGTGAAATAGGGCTCATGGCGCTGCCCCGCCTCGCAGGGGTGTTGTGAGGGTGTAGGTGTTGTGTACTGAGTTGCGTATGCCGTTGGTGGGGGCCGTCTTTGCTAATGACATAAAGCTTTTCTGTATGTGTGGGTGATGTCAGTATAAATATAATTATTTTGAAAGTCAGCACTTCCACTGATTTTGGTTTATTCATGACATGACACCCAGAATAAGCCCTCAGCTCCCAGGCAGCTCTTGGTACCCTATGGAAGACCGCTCCACCAAAGCTGCCTGTTTCTCCTTTTGGCTGGTGCTCAGGGTGTCTCCATTGTGGCAGAAGAACAATATGAAACAGCTGTACTTGTTACATTCGAGCCAAGGGAAACTGTAGAAGGAAGCTGCAGTGCCGCATCTTTCTCATCCCGATCACGAGAGGAGTGTTAGCAGTTCAGCTCCCGTGTGATGCGAAGGCTTGCTGAGATAATCGCACACGGAACAGGCGCTGTAAGTACCAAGGCTGTTGAGGATTTTACAGTGGGATGCAGAAGTTCAGAGTTTAGCTGCTGTGAGGAGGTCACGCTTTCTCCTTCATCTCGGTGTAAACTTCTTGCTGATAGCAGGAGGAGTTTTACTGTGAATTGAAGGTATTATCGAGCCTTGAATTATGCCTCAACCTGCTGGCTGTAATTAAAACTTGGAATTCAGCTTCTTTCCAGAATGCATTTGACACCTGCAGTTTATAAGTAACTGCAAACGCTGCCCAGACATTCATTGTGCCTCCTATTATTACGTCTCCAGCTCTGAAAAAGCTCTTTTTTCCCCCTCTCATTTTCATTGCATATCTTACACAGATCACAGTATAAAATTAAGCTTTTCTCTAATGGAGGGCTTGCGCTCCCTGCAACGGACACAGAGCATGAATGCCAATGATTTAAATGCAGCCTTGTAATACCAATCAGAGTATTATTTTATTATGTCGATGGCTTTGCAACTGCCAGTGAAAGATGGATCTTCAGGCTCTGTCCAGATGTACTTTACATTTAATTGAGGGAGACTGCTACAAAGCTATTCTTTTGTCCCTTTACAGCCTGCTAATCAAAAAAAAGAGGAGAAAAAAAAAATAAAAAATAGGAAGTGATTCATTGGAATACTTCAGCAAGTTTGCAGTTTAATTGGGTTAAACAGAATTTTCCAAAAAAAAAAAAAAAAAAAGAGCATCCTTTGGATTTCCACCCAATTCTGGCATTAATAGAAACATCTGCTTCATGTGAAATGTGTCACAGCCGTGATATACGCTCTCCAGTTTCACTTGCAGGTAAAAATAAAACATCTGCTATTGCAATCAAGTCTGCAGGTATTGGTCCAAACAAGCAAAAGTTTAGGTACTTAAGGGAATTTAATTGAAACCTGTGGAGAAGTAGTTACAACTGCTCAGGGGGTTGAAGCATCTGGCAAGTAGGCTGTATGAAACATCACCAGGGCCTGAATTATCATTTTTTGCTATATTACAAACTCCCCTCTGAGCCTTGTAGATTTAACCTGTCCTTTTTTAAGGTAGGACGTGCTCCAGGCTTGGCTCCAGATCAAGAAATGTGGAAGCTAATAACATCCTACCTCTTGAAAGCCAGCTCTGGGTTTCCCATCGCCCCTTGGTCTCCCCAAGGAGGGCTCGTTCAGATTGCAGGATGGAAACACAGAGCTACTGCTCAGAAAATGAGTTTTTCAATAAAACCAGGCAGCCAGCGAGCCTGGTTGTTTCTCTTGGTCTGAGCAGGGAGCTTAAGATCACTGAAAACATTGACTCCAGTGTCCCTGGAAGGGACAGAGGAGCGCTCTGCATACTGCTACACATCACCTCTCCGTGAATGAGAGATGAATGCTGCAGCCAGGGGGAAAGCAAGCTTTTCATCTCACTTGTTTAATGCAGTCTCACTTCAGCCACTCTAGTAACCTTTGCTGGAGGCAGTGGGGAGCAATAACGCCCTGACAGAGTGATCACATGGCCTGTATGTGTTAATTGGAACTGCATGGGTTTCAGCTGAGCTTCATTTAAGAATGCTTTGAAATATTAGCAACAAGGTGTGCACAGTACAACACTAAACAAGTCCAGGGCTGGGGAGTCAAGGAGGGCCTTCATAATTGGTTGCGTGGATTGTCAGATGGATTCAAATCAGTTTTGTAATTGCAGATGTGGACTAAGAGACACTGACTCAAATCTCTGTCCCAGCTTTGCACTGCTGGTGAGAGCATGGCACTTCTCAAGCCTGATCCTTCCTTGGCTTCTTCCTCAATGCAAGTGGCCACCAGGGGCAGCCAAGGAAAGCTGTCCTGTGGGGCCAAATCAAACAGCCCTGATCACTACTATAAATATTGAGGGTCTGATGGGACTTCTTCATCCTTTCATGAGAACCACAGCGGTGGTTTTATTCCCCCACTGGGACAAGAAGCATGTTTATAGGTCGAACGAAGGCATCCAGGTCAACGTTGCTCCAGAAACCAGCAAAGCACAAGATGGGACCCTGGCCTGTCTTCTGGGCCTCAGCTTTCTTACATTGCTGCTGCTTCATTGAAGAGGCTGTAGAGAACCTGGGGATTTTTACAAGCCAAGAAAAATGTAAGCTCCTGCACTTAATAGTGGAATAGGTTTTTTTTTTTCCTGTGTGTGAGTTGGTGGAGGAAGAAAAATGGTTGTTAGATGGCAACAGCACATAGCATGATTTTACTCCCTCTTTTTTGCAGACAACAGCTGTGATCTTGCATAGCTATAACAAAATATCTACGGCATATGAGATGGGAGCGCAACAGAGAAAAGAAGCAGTGGGGAGTGACAGAAACGAATTTGCCAGAATTATTATTCTACGACAGTATTTAAATTTAAAAAAAATCACTCTAATTAATTTAGTTGTTCAGGGAGAGGGAGGAAATAAGGAAGATGGCACTGAAATAGTAAGAACAACATTAGTATGGGACACGGCCAACACTAACTTACTGTTGGCTTTGCTCCTCACGCAGCTTGCATACGCAGCACTGGTAATGAGGGAGGATGAGCAGCCCTGCAGTGCTGAGGACGGCCTCCTTGGGGTCCACATCATCCAAAATGAGCCCCCCAGATCTCTGTGACATGGGGGGAGCTGCAGGAGGCCCTGGGTCACCCCGAAGGGCTATCATTTTTAGGAGAACTACGAGTCAGAGTACAATCCTGTGGCATCTGAAAGCCAGCATGTGGCAAAATGGGAGGATGGGGCAGTGGCCAAGTGCAGCCCAGGGTGAAGAAAAGCTGTGGCTGATGCTTGCAGCCCATGGAGCAAAACTTGAAGCCTGATGCCTCTCCATTGTGCTTGGTTCCAGAAATGGGTCATCACCAGGAAGAGCAATCCTGAAGATTCTGTGCTGGGAAATAAGAGAAATCAATGGTGGTGCTCCCCCAGTTTTTAAGGCCCAAAGCAACAATCTGATCATCCACCCCAACCTCCAATTTAACACAGGCTCCTGAATGCCAAGCAGTGGCTCTGTTGCCAAAACAAACATTTGGATAGAAAGGAAGCATCTTTTAGAAAGAGATGAGCTCTTCTCTGACTCCAAAGAAAAGAAACAAAGGAGTGCACCTTCAGGGCACGAGGGAGGATTTATGGTAACACACACAAGAAAAAATCAAAGCGAAGACAAGGTAATAATTGAGGTTTTTACCTCCATTAGCAGGTCAAGGTGAACTCCCAGCCCCTCCACTGTCTCTGTCCTAGTTGCCAGCTGAAGGGGGGGGTTTCACAAAGCCCTGGGCTTTATTGTGCAGCAGTGGTTTCACAGCCAGAGGATAACAAACAGAGGTGTGTGCAGTGTAGGATGGCACACCTCCTCCATATCCACACCTGGTGGCTTATTCCTCTGCAAAACAGCCATGTACTAAAGTTAAAACGATACCAAGCAGACTGAAATCCAATTAAAGCAGATCCCTCAGGGCTGCACATCCAATTAGCAGAGCATCTTTAATTACACCCGTGGCGTTTCATCGACCTACGCAGAGAGGACCTTGAGCACAGAGCTGCTGTCTGCCTGGTGACCCATATCCATGAGGACTGCTGAAGATTTCTAGGCAGCAGTGACTGGTGGTGCTTTAGTACAAACCAGTGCTTGTTGTCACTTAAAAGCATAGAGAAACCAGGAACCAGAGCAGGCAGGTCTAGGGATACCCAGCTTGAGATTTAGTTAAACAGAGCCCCTTCAAGAAAATAATATCTTTGCAGAGTTGCTCACCTTGCAGATGTTGCTCCCAACAGAGAAATTGCTCCTTAGCCAGCAGGACCTGGCAGTGGGAGGCTCTGTGCTGTGTTGCCAAGATGCTCCATGAACCAAGCAGGCACCAGCCTGGTGCTTCCCAAGGAGCTCTTGTTTGCTGGGCGGCTGCAGTGGGAGCTGGCAAGCTGCAGCAGATGCCTCACTTGAGCTGGGTATCCTAATCCCAAGGGACTGCCTCATCTATCCTCTGCTAGCCATAGGAGCAAGGCAAAGGAAAAACAAAGACAACATTTTCAGCATTTTAATAGCAATTTTTTCTAACAGGTGATAGCTGGAAAGCAATTAAGGTTCAAGTGATTCTGAAAGAGAACAGATTTTCACCCTCCTCAGGGCAGAGGGGTTTCCCTCTTGCATGGACTGAATGTTCCCTCCTTCCAG